CCAATAATATTTAGTTACAATTTAGAGAAATCCATGATCTACTAAAAATGACACAAAATGTCCATATTCCATACACACTATAGGGACTCACATATGTCAAACACGGAATTTGGATATTTGCTGCATATTCAGATTTTTTTTAGTCATCACCCCTACTTACTTATGTAAGTCAGGAGTAATTCAGAAATTGCCCTGAACTTTATTTACAAGGAACATCCGAGTTAGGTAGCACTATTTAACTGCTACGCATAGCACTATTTAACTGCTAACCTCTCTATTTACTAGAAGCCAGACTTAAGTATATTTTGCGTTGGGTAAAAGTTACTCCAAAATGCCATTTAGTAGTGTCCTTATTTAATCAGTTACGCTGACGTAAAAAAAACTCTCTGAGTGAGTTGAAAAACTCCAATAGTGACTAAAACTCCCATATAGTGACTAAAACAGCCATTAGAGAAATGGTCCCAACCCAGTCACTACTCCAAACTGACTAATAAATAAGGAGCAATGGTGGATTGGCAGTTTGCTTTTGATGAACACAGGGGTTTATCTAATATCGCTGCTACGTCAAATTCTTTATGTCTGGGAAACTATTAAATGAAAAACTGTACATGGAGACTGGTGTAACCCTTTAAGTTGTGTTGGTGCCCTATACATTTCTAGAATGTCTTTTGAATAGGATACATGAATCATACATATTGATTAGACCCATCCTTCCCTCTGAAATGTTGTCATTCCTCTTGTCTTCCTTTACCCCTTTTCTCTGAGATTGTAAGCTTATAAACACAGGCTATTAATCTTTTGTGTGTCAACACAAATTAATCTGTCTGTTGTTTAATGTTATGTCACCACATTGTACAATTGTAAATGATGTTGAATATATTTGCCACTAAACAAATACTACTGCTACTACTAATAATAATAATAAAAAAGGATTTTCTATTTCTTTGGAAATTGCACAGATAATTGTATTTTATGGACTACTTATACTTTATCCTTTTAGTGACTATTATTTTTAATATAGTAAGCTATCAGCATATAGTGACTAAAACAGCTAAAATCACATTCCACCCCAAACAACAGGTGGTCTCTGCTCCTTTCTTTATCAATTTCTACCAAAAACACAGCAAGGTACCTCCATAACCATTTCATGGACTTATCCACTCTACATTATCTCAGAGCTCAACCTTTCCGCCTCTATCACCATCTCACAGTACATCAGATACTTTTCTGTTCACCACCACACACTAATGGATAGACAGAGTCTTCATCTAATCTCTTTGATTAGCAGCAGTGACATATCACTTCTGGCAATACATTATCCTGTTCACCTGGATAAGTAGCAGTTTTCATGGCCAAACAAAGCACTGGGGCTTACTTCGTACCTTCCTTACCTGCTAATGGCTATCATTTCCGCTTTCAAGTTAGTGGTTGGATGTCATCACATCTTAATGTAGTGTTTAATGTGTCTATAGCATGTCCATGCAGGCTCAGCAATGAAAACATTGTCTACATTGCTGCCTTGTAACACTTTTAGGTGCAGTCACTTTGACGGCCACTAGTGGTGCTTCCTATTTCAGTGCTGCATAGTGTGCAGCACTTGTGATTAGCATCTCCACCATCTGCTGAACACTCCCCATAGAGTTGCATTCATTCAATGCAACTTTATGAGGAGATGCTGATAGGAACAGCCTGGCATTTTGCTGCGCATGAGCCATATCCTCCCAAAGCTTTTCTGTGGGACAGCAATGGATTGGATGAGATTAGCCATGGAGTTGGGGCTAGCCATGGAGTTGGGGCCAGCCATGGCAAGACTCGCGCCACAATGGAGAAAAGGTAAGTTTAAATACTTTTTAACTCTGTTCTGGGAGTGGGGGAAGGCGGTCACCTAAACATGTATTTCAGCACTATAGTGTTGAACGTTTCATAAAAACAAACTGGGACAAAGGTACTCAGAAACACCATAAGATAGGGATGCAATTGTCAAAAACAAATCAGGTTCTATTGTGTGTGCACAGTATTTAATGTTGAGAGACATTATGTTGTTTTATTGGTTTCTATGGTGAATGATCATTATTTAGCCTTTTGCACTAGTAAAAAAGCAATTATAACAAAAGTGACTATAATTGAAGTAAATGTGTTAATTTGTTTATTCCTGGAGGAACAACCTGTGTTTTAAATGACCTCTTGCTTTACATTATTATCATCATAGAGCTATGCAGGCAGAAGGTAGCACCATATGCCCCAAGCCTGACGTTTGATGCTCTTTCTGCAGTCAAATGTGGTTGTCAAAATGTGTTACAATCACAAATCTACGATCACTATGTGTGGTTTATTGCTGTGTAAATTATAACGCAAGATTCCTGAAGATTCTTTTTTTCTAGGTTATGTGATGCATTGCTTATACATTATCCACATCTTATATGTAAATAATAATGATAATAAGTAATACTGCTTGTTAAAGAAAGGAACACTTTTTTTTCCACTAGCATTGTAAGGAAAGGCAGGACACATAATGAGTAGGTAGGTAAAGTGCTTAGGATTATCTTAAAAAAATAAAAAAATCCAAACTATTTTATTTGACTTTTTTTTTATAATTAGGGTTAGTGTTAGGGTTATGGCTAGGGTTAGAGTTTTTTTTAGTCTCGGGGTAGAACTGCTACATACATGCTTGAGAATGGTGGGAGTTACACTGCCAGATAGTAGCTATTATTTGTTGTTGCCACCATTAAGTCTGTCCCCCCATCGCCTCTCCTACCATACAGCTAATGGACGAGATTGAAATAGTGGCAGCTGTAAATGTATCATTCAGGTACCTTCTTTCACTTAACTATTTTAATATCACTGGTGAATACTTTTAAAGTACAATAACTAGTTTAGCATCACTGTGGAGTTATATATATATATTATAAAAATGCATGTGAGGTTCAATTTAAAAATATATAGCAATCATATTAGCATTCTCTGCCGATTTGTAAGGTAATTCCTCCACTAACTATTTTTCCAAGAATTATCTTTAACATTTTTCTGTAAAGGTTTTGGTAGCGGTAGGAAGAAGCATTTGTTGCACAACTGCATTGTATTGGTATTGAGTTAAAATAGAAGAGCAGCATGCATCTAGTACTACTACTTTAAAGACATACAGGCCAGGGGCAGATACAGAGCCTAATCTCTAGAGGGGCACTGGTAGTGGATTGTAGAGTGGTGATATGCTCTAGTGGGGTGCTAAAAACTATAGTAGGGGGACAGGGGCTGTAGTTGAGGGTTAGGGGCTATAGGGGAGGGTATGGGCTATAATTGGGGGTTAGGAAATGTAGTAGGAGTCCATGTCTCGCTCTCTCCCTCCATCCATGCCTCTCCCCACTTCAACCCAGGCCTCTCCTTACCATTTCTCCCTCCCTTTTCCCTCCATACCCTACCCTTCCATCCCTCCCCATCTTCTATTCATATCTATCCCCCTTTCATCATGTCTCCCCACCTTCTCAAGCAGCATTTAGCTGCCTCTCTCACAGAGCCGGCGATTAGGCAAAGGTGGCGCAGGATCTGCATCCAAATTACATTTTGGTTCTGAAATATTATACAATTTTGATATATTATAAAATTTTGTAAATAACCATACAATTGGTTATATTACTGTATTATATTTTGACAGGAACAAATTCACTATTTTATTATTATACATTTGGATAGTACCCGTCCCCTCCCTTTTTTATTTTTATTTCTTTTTGATAATTTTTTTCACCTTCTCTTCTTGTTTCTACTCATTTCTATTGTAAAATGTTGATTTCTTTATATACCAAATTAATGTGAAATATGCTTTTAAAATACTATTCAATAAAAATAATTTGAAAAAAATCTATAATTTTATATGTATTTATTATATATTTATTAAACACTGCTCCTTCTTTTTCTCTCCATTGGTTGCTTTTCACTTGATCTGTGAATAAAATGAACATTTAGCAATTGTCCCTTAACCATCAATCATCTTTTTTTTTTTGGCACCAGAGATAGATCTCGGAATCACGAAACAAAGTAAATGACTCATATATAGCACATTTTGTTTGTTTTGTGATTTGGACATTTGTCAATTTGGAGTTGCGGAATTCAGATAAATCTCAGATCACCTAAAATTCAGACGAATTGCAATTAACTTGTAACCAAATGGACAAGTTTAAAATTTTATACCTTATTATTTTAATTTTATTATATTTTATTGCTAAACCAGGAACAAAAAAAATGTCACAAAGATTCCCCAGAGTGAAAATGCTACAATGCAATATCTCAATATAGTGCCCTTATCAAAGGAAAACTTTGAATGAACTCTTTATTTTGTAATAACACTAGACAGTTCTATGTCGGTGAGTAATACTTGGAGCAGGCAAAATATTTCAAAAAGTAAAGTAGAGAATATATAAATGCATAGGTATCATTAAATGCAGCAGAAACATTGATATTGTAAGTCATAAGTGAAGACACGCTGTTAGTCAAAACTAAAAAGCCTCAAGACAGTAAGGAGTTTAATATTTCCTTTACCTACAAAGTATAATTGTTCACATTTGAAGTGATCAATTAAGAGACATTGGGACGTTTTACTTGGAGATGAAAGATTAAGAATTTTTTTTTTCCCACTAGGCCTAAAATAATATTTTAAAAGCAATGAATTTAAAATTAGAATTAGCTTGCTTAGAATCACCTGCTGCTTTAAAATCTGCATTTGCTATTGTAACGTGGATAATATAAAACTTTATCAGTTTCACAAAAAAAAGAGAACACCATATTTTAACTTGATACCCAACATGTTAAAAAAGCTCAGATGACTGTAAGTTTGATCATTTTTCCATGAATTTATTCCTGACTTGACTGCAGTTAGGTAAATTTGATATTAAAAGGGATACAGTTACTTCCTATACTATTTAGTGCTATGTTTACTTAGCCGTTATATTTAACACGTGTGTGATTGTGAGGTCTGTCAAATAAAATAAAAATGTTGAAATCCATGCCACTGTATTTAGCTGTATCCTGGGCGTGCGTGACTCCATCTTGGCTTCTTGTTAATCAATCATTGCTACAAGCTCTGTCCTTTGCACCTGTCAGTCAGAACTGAGAGAGTATAAGAGGAGGAGTTTCACGCCCCCCGCTGGGTCTGTTCCTGCCAGAGAGCAGTATGGGTCCCGGCAGGTGCACATCATTGCGGCAGCATTTCCACATAACAAAGGGAATGCCGCAGAATACTCACCGTGTCCCCAGGCACCCGCCAGGTCCGCTCATGCCCGGGAGCAGATTGGGACCTGGTGGGTGCATTTCGTTGTGGCCACATTCTCACGTGGTAATGGGAATGCTGCCTATTGCTTACCTCCTCCTGCGACGCCCTGGCCTCTCTGACAGGCACTCTTCCCCTTACACAGCGGCTGGGTCTGTAAACATTAGAGACGCTTGCCGCTGCAAGTTAGAACCTTTTAAGGTTTAGTATTAACCCTTCTAGTGCCTAACCATTTGGAACAGCTGGGTAATGTCACATACACACGTTCACATGCTTTTCTGCAGCCAATCAGGGAGCACCTTAGGCTATTTAAACCTTTTTTGTCCATTTCTCTGTGCCCTGTTGTGGTTGCCATTCTGGTTATCCAAGAGCGCGTTTCTGGTATTGTTTCTTGTGTATTTTGACCTTGGCTATCCTACTGACTATCCGATCTCTGTATTCCTTGAACTTTGGCTTGACTCTTGACTATTCTGACTTCTGTATTCCTCTACCTTTGGCTTGTTTTAAGGCTTCATGTATTCTGTATTCTTGTCCTCAGCCTGTCTTGTGTTTTTCCTTTTATATGTTAAATCCGGCCGTTCTAAGGCCCGGTAATACGTATTAGGGTTTTCTTTATTTTTCTACTTAAGTTCTGCGTGTTTGGGCAAATTAGTATATCTTGACAAGGAGACATTAAAACAATCTTCCTCTGATGCAATCTGTGACCAGTCTGCTCCTAGAATGAATTGCGATGTCAACTGCTAAATTCTTACTATATACTTATATATCACATGAAAAAAAAAAGTGGTTAGCACATGCTTTAGGTAATTTATAATGTTTTATTTAGTGGTATAATCTCCAGAGAAGTGACATCTTAAATTTTTTTTTAAATATATAACTTCCATTCATCATTAACAGAACTAATGAGAGGGTGATAAAACAATATTGTAAATTATAAACTATATACTTTCATACAATATTTCAGACAGGTCCTAAAACATTTGTATACATAGTGGATGTAAAAAATCTAATTTTTTGCAAAACAGACACCTGATTATTGTGAATCTATAAAAAAAAAAAAAACATGAAAGAAGCCCACATGTAAATTGCCCACATAAAAAAAAAACTCATTGTCATAAATGAGCACAAGAAAAATATGTACATATAATAATATGTAGTTGGATAAATTATCGCAAAAAGCTATCCTTTAAACTCTGCTATTTTGGAATTCACTTCTCAATTCTCTTTTTTATGAATAAAGCTCTAAGTCTAAGTAAATGTTTATTTACACAACAGCACTTTTCGCGTTAGTACCAATCAAACACGGCCAACAGATACATCTGGCAGTGAAGGTGTTAAAAATAATTACCAATAGCTTACTGGGGATGAGAGACATTAAATGGAAAGTAAATGAATAAAGGGGAGGGAGTAAACACCAGCCTAAGCATCTAAGGGAAGCTAGCCAATAGGATGATAGACAGAGACAGAGTTACTGACCAATAAGGTGAAAGAGGTGTCATTGTAAGGTAACCTGGTCTATACCATAATTCACAAGTGAGAATGTGAATTAAACGTTTGTTTATGGATTAAAAAAAATCTGTTCACTTTTATATCTTATATTTTCCCTTTCAATTACGCTCAAGAATATTAAAGTCCTCTTTATACATGACCCACTTTTGTTTAGCAATGAATTACTATATAGCAAATTATTTAATTGCACTTGATAAAAATCACAACAACATATTCATATGCAAATTGTTGCACATGAATATGAAATAGTTTCATTATAAGATACCAATAATATAACATTTATATAATACCTATTGTTGCTCATGAATTGGAGATAAGTTGCTATCTACAATTATATTTATCTATGGTACTTTAAATTGAGCATACAGCTTAACCTCTACATGCAAATTACTATATGTGCATATAATTCCATGTCAACATTTTTCTGTGTGGGAGTTTTCCCGGGTGAACAATTTTCCATGTGAGTATTTTTCAATGTGAGCAATTTTCTGTGTGGCCATTTTTCTTGTATGCATTTATGACAGTAAGGGTTTTTTTTTCTATGTGCAATTTTCATGTGCACTTTTTTCTGATCACCACTCAATCCAAAATGAATCTGGTCTGGCACACCTGGGACATGCATTGGTCAGCAGTGTTGCTCCGATAAAGACCCAAATTTACACAAAAAAACAGATTAAGCGCACACACAAAAATACAATTCAACATTTTTACAAGGTTACTCAAGAGCACCTATCTCAGCAAACAAATATGGTGATTCAGTTCCACCATATGTTTGTCTCCCATGTTAAAATTAGTGTAGGACCTATGGATATTGGAGTACTTCTAAAAAAGACTTGACATACCCCATTTGCAATGTCCTACTTTTGCAAATGGTATGCCATCATGGGGGTAATTCTCATTCCGGGGCTACCATACGGTCTCAAAGGCAACGAACCAATTTGGCGAATTTCAATGTGAAAAAACTGAAACGCAAGCCTTATATTTGACTCTGTAACTTTTGAAAACACTATAAAACCTGTACATGAGGGGTACTGTTATACTCAGGAGACTTCACTGAACACAAATATTAGTGTTTCAAAACAGTAAAACTTATCACAACAATTATATCATCCGTGTAAGTGCCATTTGTGTGTGAAAAATGCAAACAAATTCACTGGATTTTTGGCCTGGGTTGTCAGGCAGGTCCCGCAAATTGTAATTAATAAAATTACCTAATTATGTAAAATTATTACATTAATATATACATGTGTATATATATATATATATATATATATATATATATATATATGTGTATATATATATATATATATATATATATATATATATAAAGGGTTAGACAGTACCTTGCACTCAGGCTCCAAAGTTTGCCAAACCGGGTGCAGTACCAGGGCCTAAATATCCAAATAGGAAAATAGTTGGTTGCACTCTCGGAATTCCAATAAAATATAACTTTTATTCCAGCTTCTAAAACAGATCAACGTTTCAGTCCATCTTGTGGACTTTCATCAGGATCACGAATAAAAGTTATATTTTATTGGAATAAACGTTATATTTTATTGGAATTCCGAGAGTGCAACCAACTATTTCTATTTATACTATTTATATATATATATATATATATATATAATTTTTTTAATTATTTTTATTTATACATAGGTATTTATATAGTGATATATACGTATATACTTATGTATATAGATATATATTATTTTGTTCTACGTGTATTTTGATATCAAGATATATATATATATATATATATATATATTATATATATATAATAATTTTTTTAATTATTTTTATTTATACATAGGTATTTATATAGTGATATATACGTATATACTTATGTATATAGATATATATTATTTTGTTCTACGTGTATTTTGATATCAAGATATATATATATATATATATATATATATATATTAATTTTAAAATACAGTTAGAATGAAATTACACATATATATATTTTTTATTTATTTATTTTTTATTATTTTTTATTTTATTTTTTTACGTATTTACATATTTATTTATTTTTATATTATATATAAATATATATATATATATAATGATAATTATATATATATATATATTTAATCAATATCATTCTACGTGTATTTTGATATTACTATATATATTTATATATTAATATTAAAATACACTTAGACAGTATATGTGTATTTATGTGTGTGTGTGTATATATATACATTGATCATATATATAAATTTATATAACAAATATATATATATATGATCTAAGTAAATATAAAGTTATTTTAAACAGTTTTTAACATTTATTATTTTTTTTATAGGCTGCAGGGGGAGTAGCTGTCATTACAGGCACAAGTCAGATGTTTAAAAAAAAAAAAAAAACTTTCATATTTTGTGAGGTCAGAAAAACAAAAAGATCCATCATACATTTTGCATGTTGCAACATCATTTTTTTAATTGTCTGATAACTTGTCTGAATCTTTGTGCTGACAGTAGCAGAAAAGGTGATCATTTGTCTATTTCATCACACAAGACAAGGAGTACAGAACTGTCATTTCTGCTTTGCATTGTAGACACCTCTTCCTGAGATCGTACCTGGAAAATTGTATTGTTGAGAAACTGGAAATCGCAATAGCAGCAAACAGTCTATACCGCAGTCCTAGAAATTGAAGAGTAACCTTAAATTATAAATCAGGTTTGTATGAAAAGTAACAAATACTGTTATTCCAGTTAACATACCTACGCATGGTACATGATGCACAAAAATTGCATCCCCACAGACTTTAGAATTTACTTTGAAGTGGACTACTTCTAAATAATTAAAGGTTTGCTTCCTTTCAGAATACCTGTCAGCATAAAAATAAAAAAAAAACATTTGAAACATTTTTCAATTAATATTTAATTATTTGCTATATTAAAAATGTTACAGATTTTTTGTATCGATAAGTAAAATGTGTTTGACTTCTATCTACTGTTTAAAGGGTAACTCATCAAGATGTTCTAAACATATAGGAAAAATTGTAAAATAGGTACATATGTTACATAGGAATGGGTGCCTATTATCACCAGAATGTCTGGGCACATGGAGCGGGCAAAATTTGATGACTTGTGAGTTAGTGCTCTGTAAATTGTGGAATTGGTAAGATATTTGCAAGTAAAATTTAATGAAAAAGTCAAACATTAAAAATAATACTTTTTGTCTGGGAACACAGTTGCTGTGTGAACAGAAATAAAATGGTGTTGGCCAATGTCTGACCCGCTACTAATGAAGCATCAAAAACATCATGAGGTATTACATCATACCCCCCCCTCCCCCACACACACACACACACACACATACACTGTGTATCAGCAAGGGAAGCTTTCACAGGTTTAATACTGAAACTTCTGTGTCTTAAAACATGTTACAGTAAGTTGCACTGTAAGCTTTACTAATGGATCTTTTGAAGTAACTCCAGCGGTGTGCTAGGGTGAGGGGCAGGACGGTCCGCCCCGGGTGCCACTAAGAAGGGGGGTGCCATGCCCTTGGTCTTGGGGCTGAAAAGGGATGTGTGAGCTGTGTGGACGCACAGTGCTTTGTTAGGGTTCCAGGTGGCTGGAACAACTCTCACACTCAGGGACCAGTTGAACTGGCCTCACAGAAGGAAAGTTGGGGCGGCGCTAAGAAAAGTTGAGGTGGAGCCAAACCGGCAATGGGGGCAGTCTTAATATGGCCCTTATCCACTTCTGTTACTGTTGCACATAGAGGTGCAGCAAGAAGAAATCCCTGCTTCTACAACTAACATGCTCCAAGTGTCACATCCTGTTCCATTTTGCAGAGATTTCTGGCCTTGGCTTCTGGAATCCAGTACTCTTTTAACAAATTTACAAATTTGTGCAATAAATAAAAGAAAGAAAAGAAAACATTTGTAAAATTTTGCAGTTGTTTTTTAAAAAAAATTTTGGAGGGGGGTGGCGGTGGGGGAAGAGGATGCCAAGCACAGGTATGCCCTGAGTAACTCCTGCCACCTCCATCTACTTTACATTGCTTGATTCCTGATGACCAGTGCTCACATTGCACCAGGAGTGGAATGACCATTCGGGCACTCAGGCAATGTCTGAGGGCCTGGGTCAGAGAGAGTGTCCACAAGCCCTTCTTTGTACTGCTGGGTTGGAAGCACCTCCATTCAGGCCAGCCTCTACGCTCATTTTTTTTTTCAATGATCACCACAGCAGTGACCATCTTTATACCTGGACAATACTCAGTGGCCCTGGGATCTCCAGATATAGCAGCAGTCTTTGTATCCTGTGTGCTGGGAGGTACTGATTACACTTCACTTCCTCCCTGCACATTGTCAGAGAGCCACATGGAGGAAAGGGAGAGAGAAGGCAGGGGAATATCAGTGAGGAGAGGAGTGTCATAGGCTCTACTAGGCCACCAGGGACCGGTCACTGACTTACCTGGACACCAGGTAATAGGGAAATATGCCGCTTACCTAGACAAGCAAGGAGTGTCAAAAACTTAAATTTTTATTTCATTTATTGCAACTTGTGGGAGGCTGAAATAGACACAGCCTCCAGAACCCTGCACACTACTCTACCACACACTTTCTTCTGTGCTTCCCATACACAGCCATACATATCACTCACAGCCACATAACATTCATTGCTCACAGCTAAACACACAGTAACACACATCACTCACAGTTACACATACAGTCACACACATCACTTACAGCTACACACATCCACATTCATTATTCACAGCTACCTACACACAGCAGCACACATCACACAAAGCTACCTACACACAAAAGCACACACCAGTCACATCCACCATAAACAGCCAACAACATCAGTCACAGTTACTTACACTTCCACAAACATCACTTACCACACCCTACACCTAAACACACAGCCACCACACACACATGCACACAGACAATATATATCCATGTTACCTCACAATCAGAAATACAGAGTCACAAAACACATCACACACAGCTCCTTTTTTACACTACAATAGCTACAACATTTACAAGTACACTACATCTAAGCAACATGCATGCTGTCACTCCACACACAGCCACAACACACATGCAGCCAGCCATACACTTTACGACACACATCAAATAGATCTACAACTCTAAACAACACACACAACATACATGCTATCACTCCACATACATGGAGGTTTTTAAAGGGACACTTCAAGCACCCTAACCACTACAGCCTACTGTAGTGGTTGTGGTTCCAGGAGTACCCTGTAGTTAAAGTACTGTTTGACAAATTACCAGTGTCCTTGTAAACATAAACACTTTAAAGCCCTAATACATATACTATAACCTCAACCAAAACACACATACACACTTTAGAGCCCCTAAACACACACAGCACCTACACTACTTAGATATGTGCATACACGAACACACTACAGCCCATACATAGTGCACTATAAACAGACCCCTTCACACACATTCTATACCAGAAACAGTCTCCCCTACACACAATCCCAAAGGAGCCTCCAAATACATATGTTACCACAGTTAGCCCAGAACAGCAAATCCCATCCATGGCAGACCCACTCTGCAACTTGCTTACAACACAGGATATATTCAGATATCTTGTGGAGTCCATGCCTCAATGCATCAGAGCTGTTTTGGCAGTAGGAGGGAAACCTAAATAATATTACGTAGGTGGTTACGTAGGTGGTTTTATTGTTATGGTTGATCAGGGTTACATACACACAGATGCACACAGTAATACAATGCATACTATGTCACATATAGTCACAAAGTAGTGACACACAGACAGTCATATGCCTACAGACATACACCGTCACATACATGTAGTCACACAGTGAGACGGTAACAATCACACTGTTAGATGCACAGTCACACACATATTCTGTCACATACTGTCACATGTAGTCATAGACACCACACATAGTTATAAGCAAACAGTCATACACAGTCAGAGAAACATAGATTCACAGTCACACACACATTTACACAGTGAAACACACATTGTCAGAAGCAGATACACTGTCACATACAGCAAAATGCACACCCGCACACACAGCGTCACACACAGTTACAGGCACACAGTCACAATTGCAGTAACACAGAGAAACAGACACACAGTCAGACACACAGTAATTCACAGTTACAGGCACACAGTTATACCTGGTAACACACAGTCACACTCAGTTACAGTCATAAAGACAGGCTCCCAATTACAGTCACACAGTCACACGCAGAGGCACACAGAAACAGGCATGCATTTTCATCTTACCTTTATGTGGGAGGAGTAGTTCAAAGTGTCTAATGGTTGGGAAACCAATGATGTCATCCTGCTTCATTCTCGATATGCTGTAAACAGGCAGTGGGTGCTGCCAACATTCAATCCTGCCCCACTTTCCGTATCAGTCTGAAGCAACTACCTCCCTGCTAGACCTGAGTAAAGGATAATGAACTTGTTTACCTACAGTAGGTACCAAAAGACCACACTACAAATAGTGACAGGCAGGACAGGAGTTTTATTGAACTGGGCATACTAGGTAACCATTTTTTTTAATTCTTCCCGTACTATATGTTTCTCTAGTCTCTGGTTTAAGGCATCTTTTAAAAACATACTTATTTGTGGAAGAATATCAAATAAAAACTATTTCTCTCTCATATAACTATATCTCAACTCCCTATGTCTTTACTAAGCCTGCTGTGTGCACATACACACACACTTACATTTTGCACAGTGTTACTGATTCAATCAGTACATTAAAAGCAATAAATACTAACTCATTCTTCCATAATGAGGCATGCTGATATCACTATTGCATTTACTAACTATAATCTGGAAGTACAATTTTGTTGCACCAATCCAATGCAAAATGTCATATATTTTTAAACGTCTGTATGGGCATGTAATAAGAGAGAAAAAAAAACAGCTCAACCTTAGGGCTGAAGATACTACAGAGATATAAATATAAAATTAAAAACTTGTGGTTGGGATATTTATAATATATTTGCAATGTACCATATCTACATGATCTCTTTAAACAAGTTTAAGATTGGCCTATATAGTTAGACCTTCAGCAAATAATGCATCAGAGAATGTATGGAAGATTTTAGAACATCCTTCTGGGTTACAGAAATATAATACTAATATCATCAGATTGTGGCATAAGGCAAACATGTGAAAATTGAAGAAAAAAATAAATTAGTTTCAGAGAAAAGAGAGAGGGATGTTCTTTTTATCCTTAAAATAAATGATCATGTTATTGAATGTGTGCCTTATTGCTGAATGTGATACTTCTTACTGTCATACTACTTCAGATGATAAGGAAAATGTAGCTATATTTACTGTAATTTTATTTTCAAGGATATATCGATGGCAGCATAACAATAGGGTTAGATAGGATTAGCTCTCTCCACTTGACTATTTAGGACAAGAACCCCTACTACCAGATAGGTCCTCCAGTCTATGTTCCAAGCTCCTAATAAACAAATAGTAGCAAAGGTGGAATGTCATGCTACCACAGATATATACAGGAAAATAATATTTCAATCAGTAATAATTTTCCTTATTCTTGGTAAATACATGATAACGATAGGGTAATATCCATGCTAAACATCTGATGGGAGGAAAAGAAAACAATCAACACAAATACAGTTAAAATGACATTTTCCTAAATGGACAATAAGGTTCTTCTCACAGAGTATACAAACCTTGATGAGTGAATAGAGAAGAAAACTTCTTCATTGCAACTATCCGGTGCCCTCAAAAAATGGATAGGTCAGGGCTGTGCAAGCAGCAGGACTCCAGATGCCTCAGAACCATAATGACTTGCCGTCGTTTTGAATAGCAAAGTACAATGGAAGTTGCAACTCCATAAAACCCAGGAATCCAACACTCGCCCACTCTTGGGCTAGTCCATAACATTCAATTCTACCGACATGAAAGAAAAGCCCAAACAAAACATCAGGAGAAATAGGTCATGGTAACCAGGTTTAGAAATACTCACCATATCGTTTACCATAATAAAAGTGTCAAGTTATGACAAGAAAAATCTGAAACATGCCAACAATTAAATTAATTGAGATAAATGTAAAAAGTTTACTGCAGGCCTGTGTCCCACCAACAAATTGGGATTCTGATAACATGAAAAAAGAAAATGTTAAAACTAGAGGCTTTAGTACGTGCCATATAAACCATTGTCTCTTTCAAGAACGACAGATAGTAGGACTGATTCCCCGGTCACTAAAAGGGGTACACTCATGGAGTTACCTTTAACAGGTCTGTGTGTCCTGGATCTCCGGGGAGTGAGAGAATGAACTGGTTAGGTCTTTTCAAAAGGTAGTCTGTGGGCATAAACTAAAACAGTAAAAGTAAAAAAAAAATATCCACAGGCAGTAGGACAGGAAAAAGACTGGAGAACCGGGTATGGAGGGTTATTTATAGCTTTAATTTCCCATTCTAGACAGCTAATTGGGTGGAGGTAACAGTATTGGTATGCTGCCATGGATTAGCCAGTAAAAACTTTAATGTCCGTCCAACTGATGCTGACGGTCTGCCAGTCTTATTACAACAGCAAGTAACTCTATGTTAACTGTAATTCACAAAAGCTTGAAATTGGAAACATTTGAAGGTTACATTTCAGAGACAGTTCAATGATAAGAAATGTATTAACTAAAATTAGAATTTTCAGTAATTCACAGTGAATTTAAAATTCAAAGCCAAGATAGCTGAATTGAAAGACTTCTCCAAGTCAGTTATGTTTCCAGTTCCTTAAGGATTCATAGTAATAAATAAAAAAGACAACTTCTGCACAGAGGTACCCTATCAAACCTCGCCTGCTGCACACAAGTGATAATAACAGCGGCTGCACACCTACATCACTTGGGTTAAGGAATAATTAATTCATCATTTCATTCCAGAAAACCCCTTTGTCATAACAGGGAATCTATGAGGAGACAATTCTTCTGCATCACAGTATTTTTTTAGATGTGTTTTCTTTTAATTACTATCTTTTTATTTAGCTAATAATGAATCCTATGACATATTTTATTTGAAAGATTGGTGTTTCTCTTACTACATGTATGGTTGATATCAATGAAAACATGTATTTGAAGCTAAAATATAAATTGGTATATCCAAGAAACCTAATGGCCATTTTTTTGAATGCAGATTCCTAAAATGTCACCGAAAGCTGTAAAAAAATTATCTCTGCATGTGGGCATAAATACAGTAAATAGTTACTTGAATAAGACCAGCCTTAAAGGGACACTATAGGCACCCAGGCATCTTCAGCTCATTTAAGTGGTCTGGGGGCAATATTACAGGACCCTTAACCCTGCAATTCTAAGTATTGCAGTTTTTGAAAAACCGCAATAATTACATTGCAGGGTTGCATATTTACAGCTGCACTGTATAATGTTTTCCTATGGGAGAAGTCCTAATGCGATTTCGGGCCGCGGTGTGCATGCGTATTAGGCCACCCACCAGTTGACGTTGGTGTAGGAGGAACTCGAACCAGCGCAGAATAATATCGCGTTGGAATCAGGTAATTGATAAATGTGTTTTTAACCCCTTTAGTGCCATGACGGAGGAGGCAGTATAGGTCACTATTGTGTTTGGAAAACTACTTTTTTCCTTGCACTATAGTTTCCCTTTAAGTGTTCCTTGACACATGCCCCATGCTTACTCCTTCCCCCTAGTTGCTATCATACATCTGCACTGTACTTATTAGACCTTTAGGCTTCTTTGGCAGAATACAGATGTGATTCATGTGAATTGATGTGGGAAACTGTGGTGAAAGTGGGCAATGTGGCATCTTCGGCAACTGTCACTAGTTGAATACTAGCCTTACTTTTTTGTGTCATTTTACCCCACTCCCTATAGCATGTAAGCTCATTGAGCAGGGCCCTCAACCCCTCTGTTCCTGTGTGTCCAACTTGTCTGGTTACAACTACATGTCTGTTCGTCCACCCATTGATACTAATTTTGGAGAAATCTGACATTTTGATGGCAATAAATTACTGGAAAAATGATTAATGGGTTTATAGTGTATGTTAGTGACTAGTGAGCTGATTGTATGAGTGTGAATGGTTAGCTATGTGAATTTTTGTGTGTGTGTGTGTGTGTGTGTGTGTGTTTGAAAGTGGTGTTAGTAGATGTTGAGATTTGTTTCAGACTGAACTGCAATTCGGCCAAATTTGGGTATTTGTCATAATTCCCAAATTCCAAATATTTTAGAGGGTGATGGGTAGATTGGGACCAATATTTAAAATTATAGAAAAAAAAAATGAGAACTGGTCTCAGACAAAACTGGTACCAGGGATCAAAATGTTGCCAGCACAGATGTAGAAAAAAAGGAAAACTTTATTAGATGGCAATGACGTATAGCAGTGCCACAAGTAATAAAAATGAACCTCAATTAAACACTTAATTGTGATAGTGTTACACACAGTGAAAAACAAAAGTGATTAAAAAGGGAGCCAATTGCTTTCAAGGATGTACATAAGGTAGTGAAGATGTAATATTTAATAGCTTGGGGGTAGATTGTATCATGAAATGATTGTAACCGAGAGGTATCCACCTTGCTGTTTGATACAAGAACAGTGTTGTCAGGTTAAACAGTGTCACTTGATAGTATCTGTTTCCTTATGAATTCTAGTCTATAGTCGGTGAACAGTAGCTATAATAAAAAAATAGTAAATGAGATAGCACTTAACCAGTTGTAAACCAGATTATTAATCCATACGTACTATTCACCATGACAAGAAGCCTCCTAAAAAATATACAATCTATTATAATGTAGAATAAATACCAGATAATATATCACAGAAAAACTGCATGTGTATCTAATATACAGCTGCCGCAGAAATTGACAGGGAACCGGGAGGGGAATAGGGAGTAAAAAGGTCTAGCATGGGAATATGATGTTGCTTGTTTGCTTGATAACCTACACCAATGCACGTCCTCCACCCTTCATACTGCTTTGTGGCAGTCCCCTTCATAGCAGTCTAGTATACAGCCGCCACAGTGGTAAACAGGGGATCGGGAGGGGAAAAGGGAGTAATGAGGTCTAGCATGGGTAAATGCCCAGTAACATTGCTTAAGCTTGGTTGCTAAATAACCTACACCAATCCACCTCCTCCACCAGCCTTACTGCTTCGTGGCAGTCCCTCTCAGCATCTAAACTAATAATGAATAAAGAAATTTACATGAAAGCAAAATAAATTGGAATATGAGAATAAAAGAATGAGTAGCATTCTTTTATTAAGAAAAAAGGAAAAAAGAAAAAGCCAAAATCTTCTCACATAAGTGAGGAGAGGGCTCCCTGGATATATACTAGCATCTAAAGTAATTGTGGGATCTCTGTGGTGGAGACAAATGTAACAAAAACTTAACTTACTTGCAAAATGGCTATATACATACATTCCTTAGCTTTATAAGGCTATTTCTATATTAGACGAGTCAGGTTTACCACACAGTATACATGACTGGCTAAATTGTTGTTAAAAAGTATGTCCAGTATAAGGTAGATTCTGTATGTATATTAGTCAGATTTGAGCAAAGATCATCACAGTCTGTGTATCAAATTAAAATACAAAGTAATCATGCCAATAGTATCAATAATACTAGCATGTGTTACTTCTGATGTTGTGCTGGTAATTGCAGAATAGTACCAACTTATGTAGAAAGATACACGTCTGTCAAGTGCTGTGCTTAATACAGAGTCAAAGGGTGTGTTAACTCAGCATTGGTGGTCTTCGCATAGACTGGTAAGAAGGGGATATAAGGAGGAAAATTGTAGTACGAAAAAATGATAGTAAGCCTCTCTCCCTGTAAATCTGACTAGAAAGGATATAGGAAAAGATAGAAAGGAGATTAAATTAGCAGCATATCACTAGGTCGGTGTCTAGTTAAAAATGTTTGGATACAGCCGAACATGTATAAGGTGCCCAGATAAAGTAATCCCACACCATGCTCATAATGTCAAAGTGAGATTAGAGATAACTTGATGTGCATTTTGGTGCCTAGAAGTGTGCTCCCCCCTCGTCAGAGGAAAACACTAACATCTGGTCAAGTATTTTATTTTATTCCAAGAGAAATACGTTTGTTGGATCTGAACTCAAGGTCTTATAGGTTTCACCATTATCCAGGACTTTATTAACCATACTTATATAGTCGTCAGAATTTAAGATGAATATATTGATTCACCATTTTGTTGACAAAAAATTGCCTTAAGCACAATCTACTCTCCTTTAAAGTTTTCACAGGAGCATAAAACATGCTAAAACTTCAGATTCTAAAACCAAAAAAATATGTATTTTAATATACATATTTTAATATAATTTATACATATATTTAGAAGGTCAGTATGATTTTGAAAGGGCTCATAAACCCAGCTTTTCCAAACTCGGGAGGCTAGGTAGGAGTTAGCCCACTGACAACTGCAAGCCCAGTATGTCTGGCAAAGCTGGCGTTAGCCTACCAACGAGATTGCATCTGAGATCATTCTTGGCATTTGAAAACCACTCCCGCCGATGCTGATTGGCTGTACGACGTAATTAAGAGGCGTGGAGATTGGGACCAGCCTCGTTGCTCTTGAGAAAGGCACATTTGAGTGCAGAAATGTGCTTCGAAGAGATGCTACTCACTTTTTTATTCAGGGGTTCCAATTTATTTTGTTTTCACATAACTTTCTTTATTCATTGTTATTTTAGATGCTGAGGGGGACTGCCACAAATCAGTAAGGCGGGTGGATTGGGTGTAGGAGGTTATTTAGCAAATGTAATTAAAAAAAAAAGGAAATGATTGATGGAGAAAACAATAAGTGATGGCTAGAGGACAATACACTAAATGTTGATTTTATTCACAGATCACGTTAGAAGTGGGTAATAAGATAAAAAAATAGGAGAAGCCTGTAAAAATATATATATTTAATACAATAATAATATTTAAATATAGATTTTTTGAACACTCAAAGTGCTAAAGCTTTACCTAAAGAGAAGTTGCAGATTTTTTAGGACAGCCCTTTAGCGTAAATTTTGCATTTTCCATGTATAATGAATAAACTTAAAAATGGATTATCACACTCATTTTTACTAATTTCTCACCAAAAGCTGCAGATTTATCTTTTACATTGACCCCAGATATGGTGCTAAAATTGTAATCTATTGAGAAACAAATTACATAAATTGCTTCTAATCCATACATATTTACATACAACTCCAACAAATCTTCCCAAATTCCCCTATACGGGTTTGCCAGACACACCTCGCCATGTCTTCCTTAACACATTTAATTTTTGTTGATATGTATAGTATGAAAGTTAAAGATGCCCTGTAGTATTGTAGATTCCACAGAAACAGAAATTAAATAAATAACTAAATAAACCCAAATAACTGACTTTATTAGTTAATTGATTTCAGACCTAGAGGATATTAATTCTGCATACAACAGGGAAACCTATCGGAATGTAGAAGTGTTATGTGTCAAGGTAATTTAGGTGAATCTGACAAACATTTACCTACTACATCTTACAGAAAATTGTAACAAAATGTTATAAAAACAAAAAACTACTTCAGTTGGTTCACTGTGTATATTTAAAAGAGCACTATAGAGTCAGAATACAAATGTCTATTCCTGACACTATAGGGCTGGAACACATGTTTAGCTCCCCGGCCACCCTCTCTGTGGAGTTAAAAGGTTTTTAACTTACCTTTTTGTCCACCGCCGCTCTGGTCTCGCTACGGCTGCGTCTGCCTCCATGGCTGAGATCATCAATCTTGAATTAATGCACATCTATGGGGAATATTCAATGCCTCAATGCTGAGCGTGGAGACACTGAATGCCACATATGAAGCACCTCTAGTGGCCATCTGAGGGATTGCCACTAGAGGTGTTACTAAGCAGTGTTTTTCTCTGAAAAAGTAGTATTTACATTAAAAAGCCTGCAGAGACAGACTATAGACACCAGAACAACTACATTAAGCTGTACTGTTCCTGTTGATTATAGTGTCCCTTTAACTATACGCCCATAGGAGATATTTGCCAGTATTATCTATTGTATATCAACACTATCTCTTCTACGACTGACATCTTACAAATATATTTATTGTACTTTAAAGATTTTCTCATAGCATTGTGTTTCCCTTTGAGCTATTTTGTGTGTGGGTTTGAAAACAAATCCCTCTCCTATCTGCACTATTCATATACCTGATATCAAACACTGACACTTGAGATTTATGGGGAATACATATCTCAGCTCTTAGCGAGCTCGTGGAAAGTACAACAAATAACCAGAAATCATAAATCTGTAGGCTGGAAACACTCAACACAATGTGTATTTCATTGAATGAACACAAATCCTAAATATTTGTATATATGTATGTGTTTGTAGCGTCCGCGTATGCATCTTTAGTGACACACATTTGTCTTTATTACTGCGAGGGTTGCCAGATCTTTTGTGTTTCTATACATATCTCTTTAACATTCTGCAGGGATGAGCACTAAAAGTACTGCCTTGCAGTATGTAGAATCTAAATGCGGCAGGAGAGAAGCAAACTAAACAATTAAAGATTGCAATGTAATTTATTACCCTAGTGCATCTTATCAATTCTGCATAATGCAGGGCAAAGAAGAATAGTTACATGGGTGAAGAAGATATACAGCTCCATTAAGGCAAAGAGTGGCAACGCATGCAGGTAAAATGTCTCTCCAAGTGGTAAATGTGTTACATGAGAAGTTTGCAATTTAGCAGGTTTACCTCTGTGTATGCATGTTAATGTGATATGTTTGGCTTTCTTTTTTTTTTTTTTATTACATTCACACGATTTGTGTGTTTTTGTTTTGTTTTGTTTTTTATCCTAAAAACTTCTCTTTTCTAGGGACTTGGTCTTGGGACATGAATGAGTGTCATTTTTGGAGGGCAGTAAATTGCAGCCTCCCGGTAGCAGTGCTTAGAGAATGAACACTGAGCACATTAGGGAAGCTAAAATCATCACACACATTCTTTTAGAAGCTGCAGCCAATGTCCGGGGAGTGAAGCGAGGTTCAGAGTCAGGGCATGCACATTCCTGTGACCTTACACTGTGCCATGATGCTGCACAGCTTGGTGGTTCTATACAAGTTCTCTGTCTTCCTGGCCCAAGGCCTCTTTCTGCAAATTCATTCAGTTCTTAAAATAATGTAAGCTACGTTGGGGCTGGTCTAACCCTCTCATCCTTCCGGGAATCTCACTGTAAACGCCTGATCCTTTGACTTATTTAAATGTGATAGGTACACTTATTGCATCTAAGAGGTTAAAGTAAAGTTGTTGTTTTTTTCCTCTGTAGAACACTACCATAAAAACATTTGCAATCACAGAGACATGAATATATTGCAAGCGCAAAATATTAATTTACTTTAATTTATGAATCATTCATAATTAGCACATACACAAACTTTAATAAAACAGGAAATGAATAAACAAATCACCATGAAACAAGAGAAAAAAACATTTTTATTTAATGTATTTAGTTAAATGAAAGTTACTTACAAGGAACACACAGATATTTGAGTGCTGAATGTTTTAACCTCTGTGTTGTCTTTAATTTATTTAGGTATTTCTATACAATGTATCGAAAATGTTCTGCTTAGGTCAGAGTTTGCCAAGGAAGCGTGAATTTGTTCTGTTTTTTTTTTGTTTTTGTTTTTTTGTTGTTGTTGATCTGATAATCCATGTTGTTTAAACCTACATAGAAAGGGTATTTGGAATGTTTGCTCTGGTAAGTGACAAATTCAAAACAACAAAATGTTGCAAACTCACATTTTTGTTTGTAATTCAAATACGTTCCACTTAAATTGTTTATCGAGATTTTGTGAACTGTTTTCACAGTTTGTTTATTTTATGTATTCAGGTTTATGTAGTAGGTCTATTGTTAAAGGACAGGTATATGAAAAATAATTATTAAAGATAAGTGATGCTTTTAATTTGATTACTCTTTAAAGCTTTCTCATGTTGATTTTTAAAATGATTGTTATCTATTCATATAAGATTATTTTATAATACAATATACTTGCTTATATTTTCTGCTCTTTAACAATATATAGTTTCGTAGTATTGTGTTCTTCAGCTGTGTACACCGTAAGGATTTTAAGAATTCCAGAGTTACATTTATTATGAAACAAATAGGCTTTATCAATGGAACTCCAGCACCACCTGTTGTTTAGTCTCAGTACTGCATAACTTACGATCCCTGAACATATTATGAGGCTAGGCTATAAATCAATAGGTTGGATAATGCAGTGGGCCCAAATTATTGAGGTCTTGCTGCTCTGGTCCAAATATCTTCACAGTGATTCATCAGTTCATAAATTAGTTAATAAAATTCTAGATATGTCTGAAAAATAATTTGATGCTCTGAAAGAGGCAGATAGATCATGGCTGATAAATCTTTTTGGAGCAACCCCTGATAATTAAACACCACATATTATTCTGTTACTTCCTGGACCTTCAGCTCATGAACAACTTCAGATATTCCATTTAATAGACATTTATAAGATTCAAGTTTTAAATTAACATGGATATCAGTATATCCTTCGATTTGTTTAGCAATGTACGTAAACCTTTCACTTGTTTCATATTTATATAGATTATCCTGTGTGTGTGTTGCATTCTGTATACTTGGTTTCACAACAAGAATTTGGGATACATTTTGTGCTGTAATTTAAAATACATGTGATGTCTCTTACAGAAATAGCACATTTTTGTTAAATTATTTACTTACAAAAATACAAACATTCTATTGTCACAGGTAATTTAAATATATCTTTTTCTTCATTTTTAACCTTTCTGAGTTACTGATATGAATTAAGAACTGCCACTTTCTGAGAAAATATGCCCTTAAATATCGTATCTGAATTAAAAAAAAAAAAAACATATTTGAATTTTAGGTGAGTGAAGCTATTGTTTGTCAGCATTGTCCTATTTGTGACTTCTTGTGTAAAGAGGCATTTTCTCAATTAATCTGAATTCTGTTATTAAAACCTTCAGAAAGGGGATCGCAGAGTATGCCGTGTGATAAAAGGTTTGATTTATTTTTTTAAAGATGTAAAAGCAAAGAAATAATTTTTTATTCATAACTTCAAACTGCAACTGTTGTCTACGGCAGTCAAATCATGCCAAATTTTAAACAGTTAACAGTAATACATTGTAAGAAGTGAATATTAAAATGTCTATATTTCATTGTTGCATATTTTGTTATAAATAACATTCCTTTGTTTAGATTTCATATTCCAGAATAATTTGAAGGCTCTGCATCAATATCTGGTATATATAATTAATCAATGTTAGATGCATTTGGTATATTAAAATAGAAACACACAACAATAGGACTTGTCAAGTACATATTGTATAATAATTGTAAAATGAGGATTTTGTATATGAAATATCTTGAAAATATGTTGTTGTTACATTTAATTTATCATACACATTTATTATAGTTTTTTTGGAAATCATACAATACATGTTAGGATATGCATACTTTTTTTTTCACAAAACACTTTTCACACCTTTAACACAAAAACAAAATATTACACCTAGTTATGAAGGATCTACATATACTTTACACCTTACAAAATGCTGTAATTGTTTTCAAAACACACAAAAAAATGTTTTATTAAAACTTCATCTGAATAAAATAACATACTCCAACATTTATTTAAATGCAGCAGTGTTTGCAAACATGTAACCAAATATTTAGTCAAAAATAGTTCACCAGTAATTTTTTTTTCCTGATTCTGCAATTCTAGACTAAATTGTACACGTTAGCTTCAAAGACACTGGGGTTTTCCAACAGTGAATTACAGTGCAATGAAAAATTGCTAAATTTAGGCAAACATATCCAGGCCAGTAAAACTGCCAAATTGGATTGTTTCCAATCAATCTATATCTTTCCAAAATGTACAATTCAGTTTAATGTTTACCACAATCCTAATAACCATACAACAAATCACCCAAAGGGTTAAATGAATCCTTCATTGTATTTCAGCCTCAAAACAAATTGCTCAGCTCTGTCACTCAGACAATCATTATATGTTTCTATTTTTTTTTTCTATTGAATGTTAGTAAAAATAAAAATAAAAAATACTAGTTTATAGAATGTATGACTTTATCTCTTTTTTTTTTTACATTTGTCACCATTGTATCTGTGCAATAATTTTCTGTTCCTTTATGTCACTATTATCCCTGAAAACGACTCTGAACTCTGTACTTAGCAATGTTTGGTTTTCCTGGTTTTAATGTCTATTGTAAAAAGAAAATCCACATTTTAAATGTTATGGGTGCTACAGTCACCGCAGCAGAAAACATCTGTGCACAAGGGCAACATTACCATGAAACTGTTTTGTTCCATATTGTTGTTCTGGCCTTTCAAATAAATCTTACAGACTGTAATTGTTATGATATTTTATTTTAAATTATATGTAGTATCTTAAATGGGGATAAATAGAATTGTTAATAATGCTACATGTAAATTGAATGATATTTCCCAAATGCTTTGCCCGTAATAAACATTTATTTCAATTTAATTGGGTGCTGAGTGTAGCTAAAAAGAAGGAAAAGCAAAAAATTGATAAATGCATGTTTTCTAAGATCCATTTACTTTATTTTATTTATTGTTTTTCATTTAATATATGCATATATTTAATTTGTAGGACATGAGCAGGAAACATTTTGTAATTACATGGCTTTATGAATTAAAGACTTTTTTCGGTTTGTTTGTTTTTAAAAATACAGTTATTAAAAAATAAAATCATAAATCTAATTCAATTATTTGAGAATGTAGTCTCCGTTATACATATTGCCATAATTGGAAGCAAGCATAATTGTCACCATTATTGGGGTTCCAACAGCAGGTTTGCCAAGAAGAAGGTTTTGGCTATTTTTACATTAAAGGTCAGAGTAGCCAAATTAAAGGCATAGCTGACACAGATTTTTTTTAAGTTTGGCTCTTTTTATCTTAAAATTGAAATGCACTTTGAATTCTCACATTAGTAAAGAGCCTTGCTAGTATTCACTCAAGTAAGATGTTGATTTTTCCAATCACCGTTTTTAAGTAGGAATCAGTTTTCTCTGGACGTTCACTCTAATTTAATGTGATACCTGTGATATTGATATATCTTGATAAAATGGGAATTTGAATCAGCAGGATTTATATGGCCTGGAATTGCAGAACATTGATAATAGAATTAGCATTGTTTTAATGTAAAGCTAGCAAAGCTCAGAAAACAGCCAATTTGGAAATGTTTTTTTTTTTGTGTGGTTTTTTTACCTTGTTATTGCTCCATAATTCCTCGATTGGTAAATAAACAATCAAGCCATCTTTAAGTTACATGACAAATGTTACATGTGAATGGCTAAACCCAGGTCAAGTGCATTTTTGTGATGCCAAGTGTGTGACATCAGTAGTCATTAATGCACGGTAGTTCTCAATCATGGGCATGATCTTTGGTCTGACAATCAAAGAGGATGTAAAGATTGCTACTACCACAGAGCAAGGTAAAGCAGAATATAGATTACAATGAGCCATTTTCCCATTTATATGCATTAAAAAAATAACAACTAAACCAGCCTGAAAAGAAATAGATGGAGGATATAGTAAGTAGAAGTTAAGGAGCTCTATGCAGTCAATGAAGATCCAGTGAGGGTGGACACACAGTCAACAACAATGTGTAAGTAGTTGGGTATAGTTGGATGCATTCATGCTAGACTTATGTAACAATCTTAAATAGATGATGAATGGTTATTTAATCAAATTGTCCATAGAAACACAAATATTGTTGCCAAGCCAATCAGATTTGGTAAGTAATGTGGGCATTGGACCTGCTTGATGCAGTCCTTCCATAATCCAAATCCTGTCAACCTTCTCTATTCAGTCCACTACATTTTGAAAAGCTGATTACTTCAAGGAATCTTGAATTTGATCTTTTTCTGTATTGAACAAGTTACAGAGAATACCCTGGGTAAGGTTTTTTTTTTACTTAACCAAAGACTCAGACCACAGACTGCCTGTTTCTACTCATTTTTGTGACCAGGGGAATTATTGCAATTTTAGACTGAATCAATTGATTTTGGTTCTTAATTTTATGTAGTTCTTATGCAAGATGCTACTTGCATATGCATGTGCTGTTAAAAAAAAAAAAAGCAACATAACAAATGTTATCTTCATTGTGTGGGCTGTATTTATTTATTTATTTATTTATTTGAAATTCTATCAATTTTATTGGATTCAGAAATCTGAATTCATTCTCAAACATGACCACTGGGAATGGCAAGGAAGGGCCACCAGAACTCTAAGTTTGTGTACCAGGCCTTTGTTGGGTTGGATCACATGGGCATGCAGATTATTTTTTTAAAGTGGGTTGCTCAAATATACTTGATTGACAAACACTTAGATGCTTCAGATCAAAACTACATGGAAAATATTATTTATTGTAAATAGTGTGTTTTATATATATACACTGAACAAAATTATAAACGCAACACTTTTGTTTTTGCCCCCATTTTTCATAAGCTGAACTCAAAGATCCAAGACTTGTTCTATGTACACAAAAGGCCTATTATTCTCAAATATTGTTCACAAATCTGTCTAAATCTGTGTTAGTGAGCACTTCTCCTTTGCCGAGATAATCCATCCACCTCACAGGTGTGGCAATCAAGATGCTGATTAGACAGCATGATTATTGCACAAGTGTGCCTTAGGCTGGCCACAATAAAAAGCCACTCTAAAATGTGCAGTTTTACTGCATTGGGGGGATCCGGGGTGGTCCAAAAACCAGTCAGTATCTGGTGTGACCAACATTTGCCTCACGCAGTGCAATACCTCTCCTTTGCATAGCGTTGATCAGGTTGTTGATTGTGGCCTGTGGAATGTTGGTCCACTCCTCTTCAATGACTGTGCGAAGTTGCTGGATATTGGCAGGACCTGGAACATGCTATCGTATATGCCGATTCAGAGCATCCCAAACTTGCTCAATGGGTGAGTATGCTGGCCATGCAAGAACTGGGATATTTTCAGCTTACAACATGGGGCAGTGCATTATCGTGCTACAACATGAGGTGATGGTCGTGGATGAATGGCACAACAACAAGCCTCAGGATCTCATCACGGTATCTCTTTGCATTCAAAAGGTCATCAATAAAATGTACCTGTCATTTTCCATAACATACACCTGCCCATACCATTACTCCACTGCCACCATGGGCCACAATGTTGACATCAGCAAACCGCTCACCCACACAACGCCACAACACGCTGTCTGCCATCTACACTGTACAGTGAAAACCGTGATTCATCCATGAAGAGAACACCTCTCCAAAGTGCCAGATGCCATCAAATGTGAGCATTTGCCTCTTCAAGTCGGTTATGATGACGAAATGCAGTCAGGTCGAGACCCCGATGAGGACAACAAGCATGTAGATAAGCTTCCCTGAGATGGTTTCTGACAGTTTGTGCAGAAATTCTTTGATTATGTAAACCGATTGTTGCAGCAGCTATCCAGGTGGATGGTCTCAGACGATCTTGGAGGTGAAGATGCTGGATGTGGAGGTCCTGGGCTGGTGTGGTTACACGTGTTCTGTGGTTGTGAGACTGGTTGGATGTACTGACAAATTCTCTGAAAAGCCTTTGGAGATGGCTTATGGTAGAGAAGTGAACATTCAATTCCCGGGCAACAGCTCTGATGGACATTCCTGCAGTCAGCATGCCAATTGCATGCTCCCCCTTAAAACTTGTGACATTTGTGCTGTGTGATAAAACTGCAAATTTATTGTGGCCAGCATAAGGCACACCTGTGCAATAATCATGCTGCCTAATCAGCATCTTGTTATGCCAAACCTGTGAGATGGATGGATTATCTTGGCAAAGGAGAAATGCTCGCTAACACAGATTTAGACAGATTTGTGAACACTATTTGAGAGAAATAGGCCTTTTGTGTACATAGAAAAAGTCTTAGATCTTTGAGTTCAGCTCATGAAAAATGGGGGCAAAAACAAAAGTGTTGCGTTTATAATTTTGTTCAGTATATGTATACATTTACTTTTTTAGAAAAGAATAAAAAGTATGTAAAGGTATAAAGAGATATAAGCATGCATAAAGGATATGTCAGGTGTGCCGACTCTAATACAGAGCACTTCACCCCATCTTTAATATATGACAATTTGAAATTCAAATTCAAATTCATTTTTGAAGTTTGTCTTGAAAGTGGAAGTTTTCAGTTGATTTAAAATAAACAGCTATGTTTCAACTCATTTGACAAATATAAAGGAGTCTTTTCTTTTTTACCTGTCCGTGGCTATGTTTTCCATAAACAGTCTCCTTTTACTTAAAAAATAAAATAAAAAAATAGTAATAATAACAGTGCATCCCCTACTAGAATGTGCTACGTGCACTTCCGTGTAGAGAACACTTATGAAAGTCACTAAAACCTTGAGATAGGCATATTTACCCAGTGGACACTTTTCTTATGATGATTTCTACTGCATCCGTCAAGAAAACAAAAATTACATGAGACAGCAAGCTTGGTGCTTTCTTTCAATGACAGAGCACAACATTACCTGTCAGTTTGATTTAAGCTCTCCAGCACTTAAGGTGTTGCATTAATGTTAATGCCAACTCACTCAGAACATTTTTTCTTTTTCTTTTGCTAAAACAGCTTCTTTAATTGTGTCTACTATTTGTTAAATAATTACAAAGGCATCAACTTGTCGCATAACTCTATTGCCCATATACTTAAAGATGAACTATTGTAAGAAAAAAAAAGCATGAAACTATGTAGGGTTTTTTTTTTTTGGGGTCAAGTGAGTGACTTTTAATTCTACTTAATAATAGTTTATAGCTGTGAGCGAAATTAGTTCATGATTGTGAGGCATATCGCTTACCTTTTCTAACATTGTTTTAAATTATGAGATAGCTGATTATTCTATAAATGTCCTTATTCCTCCTTTTCTTTGTGCTGCTGAGTGATGGGAAGGTTTGCCTTGCAATGGATACTGGCATTAAATAATTGCGTAGGGGGATAGTCGGCAAATTTAAAACATTACAAATAAAAACATTAAAGGGGAACTGTCACATGTAGGGCTTTGACATAACTCAGTAGCTAACTAAGATTCTATTCTATTCTGTTAAAATTCTAAATATATTCTATTTCATAATTTACATTGTGTACCTTGCTGTTCTTTTTAAAGAAATGAACATAGTTGTGAAGGATGTAACACCTTATATTTAAGCCCCAAATAGGACATAGCTTAACTCTGTTGTTCACTCAAGTTTGAAGTGTGTCTGTATTAAACGTAAGAAAATGATTTAAAGGGACTCTATGGTCTTTGTACATATTATGGTGAAAATTAGTTACTTTCCACTATCTCCCTGCACACAGTGCCTAAATACCCCAAAAATACAAACATCACTGTAGCTATAAGCCTACCTCTCGCTCACACATGTCTCAAAAGAAAACATGTATATTTCACCATAGAAGAAACTGTCAATAAGCTGTTAGCAGCCATTTTGAACATTTTTATGTGATTAACTAAACTGCTGCTGAGCGCTTACTGCAAGCTCTGGTTAGCATATAGTTTTTCATCTGATGACCTGAACTACTGACTAGTGCTTGCTACATACTCCAGAAATCCCTTCAGGTTAGTGGTTTGTCAAAACTTGCTCAATACATATTAGGATCAATGGGCAATCAACAATTAACTGATAAGTGGCAGCAACTTTATAGTCTTATAGTCTTGATAGAGCTCATTGCATTGGAACTGCAAATCTGGGATAAAATGTCAGTCATTTCTGTTAAATGTATTATCTGTATAGTTCATTAATATTTAGAGAACTCCAGTCTCGAGTGTTCATCATATACCCCATTGCCCAACCTTTGCAAATACTCTCCTTTTAACCCCACTCAGACTTCCTGTAGCTGTGGTGGCTACACTGGCTGGACCATTGGTAGTACTACCCCTAGAATGCAGGGCAGATCCTAAGATTCCTTTTTAGCTGGGACAGGAACCCAAAACATAGTACTGTTCCTAGAAATTAGGACAGTTGGCACATATCATTACATCTCTTGTGGTTGTGACTTTCACAGCCTCCATGAAAAAAATGGTTTCATTCTTAATCAGATCTTATGGCAAAATGGATTTATTTTAGAAGTTATTAACTCATTGGACTCCAGCAGAGTCTAGCAGATTATTAACAGAGCAGGAGATAAGAAATTCTAAAGTAAACACACTGTGCAACAAAGGAAGCTAAAAAAATGTAGGGTCTTTTTCGAGAAGTGTTTTGGAAGACTGTGCGAGTCAATGCACAAACAAAGTAATTTGACTCCTAAATGGCAGAGAACTGAGCAGTGACATGTAGAAGCACTGTATGTAGACCAAAACCAATTGATTAAGCTGATGTCTTTTTGGTGCTTTTTTGCACTTAGGGCGTCCCATTTTAAGTTTTGCACATATTCTGTATAAATTGATGTATATTTTTACATACATAAATACAATTTTGCTAACTTATGGTTTTGAAAATATAAAAATTTGTACTAAATGTTAAAATGTTTGCTTCAAGCATGGACATTTCTGCAAATATATAATATTATTCTTAAAATAGAACTGGATAATGTATTCTTTCATTCACCCCAGTAACTGCTAATTTAGGAGGAATGGTAGATCTGAATTCCTGAAATCATATCAGTGCGAATAAGAATGACTCTTGTAGCACCATTCATTTAACCCTTGTTACTCATTCAGGTACGACAAGCTAAATATTTAATGCAGGTTACATTGCGCAAAGTTCCTTATCACTTCTTTAACCCTATTAGCAGGTGCTTTACATTTGCTTTAAAGTCACTTGTTTAATCTTGTCCTTACAATGGGTATATAGTAGGTAGCGTGCTGTAACTAGAACAGACAAGGAATGATTAAATGAAAATGTAGATTTTATACAGACTTCAATGCTATTCAACGACTTACCGTTTTTGCAAGATCCAATTCAGAAATGAAATGATGTAGGCAACTGCATTGCTCTCTGTTCTTTATTTTATTACATAATATATAGATTAGATTAGATATAATATACATATATTCCGGCAGTGGTAATTTAATAATGAATATTACATTGATTTAATAGAAATGATTTTAAACACACTTTCACTTCTATGGTAACTTTCGGCATTGTCATTTGCATGAATATATAATGCAATGCTTATATTCTTGATTAAGTTTCATAGGTTTTTATGTATCTTCTCAAATGGGTATTCCTGTGGGGAGCGATTTCACAGTATAATTATACTATTTCAGCGTGCAACTGTTATTATTTATGTTCCTGATTTGTAGGAGAGCTTTATAAGCCACGGAGAAGCAGTGAATATTTTCTGTGTAATGTATTGTGTGTTAAAAACGCATTTAGTAATCTTCTTAGCAAAGTTGATATGCCCAAGGGCTGTTGTGAAATGAATCCACCAGCGTATGTAAATAGAATCACTCACTACACTTGTATTTATGTCATGTGTTTAGTGTTTTCATTGTTTGTGTTGCCATGAACCTACTGTTTCCAATGAGCCATTGTGCTTCTTTAAGAAAAAAAAATTAAAACATTGTGTGTAAAGTAAAATAGAATCTCCTTAACAAAAGGTTAATTAGTAAGTTTCAATTTGTGTTTGCAATATAAGACAATCCAGAAGATGAAGCATGAATGCAATATATGGTTTTCTAGCCCCTAAATTAATTGAAATAAATCTAAAATTTAAATGTAGACTAAAATGATCACAGAGTATGAGTATGGAATGGCTAGCTAAGGAATTGGTTGGCAATAAATTCCCCAAAAAGCCACAAATGCATAAGCAAAAATGGTGATAGGAGCCGCACTCAATCCCAGCAGCCACCCAGTGCTCTGGAGCAGGACCAGCGATCCCACAACTACAAAGCAGCACAAGAAACTTGGTAGTTGTGGTATTGCTGGTCCTGCTCTGGAGCACAGGATGGCTGCTGGGTTTGAGTGCTGCTCCTATCACCATTTTTGCAATATTGTTTCATTATAAAATGACATTGCGTTCTGCAGTACTGGCTCAAAGCTCATGGTTATTGATGATGTCAAGCTTGACAAAGACCTCTTAGCAGGTCGAAACGTTGCTGTTCCTTTTGTTCTATTAAAACCGCCTGGGGCTTTAACACCTTGGGTGCCTGGAGAATTTCTTGTGCTACAAATGCGTAAGCAGTCCTACAATGCTTATATTATGAAGCAAGGAAGTAAATAAATGAACAAGAATTTTGTGTTCCAATGTCCATCTAATATCCAAGTGGCAACCAACAATAGCAACCCCAGTCATGCATGTTACAACCATAAATATGAAATGAGAATGTATACGACAACATCGTTTACACAATATATAATGGGCATAAGACAAGTGCATACTACACAGCTGTAAAAAATAACAATTAAAAAATATTAAGGGTGCACAAGGTATTACAAGAGTTACAAATTAGATTTACATCCGCAACAAATAATCCAAAAGTAATGCAGTTTATAAACCACATATGGTAAACACTCATTGGGTTATTTATTAAAGGTCAAATGGCTCCAGACCGAATGGGGAAAAACCATCCAATTGCATAATAGGCCATTCACATGGCAGAATCCGGACATTGTTAACGCTATTTAATAATGTCCAGGCCTGGATGCTTCATACATGGGCTCGAATTATAAAAAAAAAATCTTAAAACTATTTGCCCAGAGACAGAACTAGCTGACAGCAAGAGAGCTTGATAACTAGCTGTCAAACTAAATAGTTAAAATAAATAGATAAATAAATAATAATCAATAATGGCCTATTACAATAAGGGGAGTTTAAAACCTCCCTTTGTCACCATCTGCTATGAAGGGGGGTAGAGGGGTGGAGGGCATATCAACTAAATGTCTAACATCAGCAACTGGGCAGGAGGGACATTAGTATGTCCCCTGATTACTTTTAATTAATAGCCCTCACCAGCTTGAGACAGGAGGGGGTAGAGAGGTGGACAGATCACTCATTATTTAACATAAAGGCTGCCACACAATGCCCATGGGTGAGGGTATGAGGGGACTCTTATTTAACATGGGCTATAACAATATAAGGGGGTAACTTAGTAACCCCTGGCCCCCATCCATGGGCGATGGGTGGGGACCTAATTATAATAAAGGTTAGAGAATATAGTGTTCCCTTTGGCACCCTCCCATTGGTGCTGGGTGGGGGATCTAAATATAGGACATTGTATATCTTCACTCTAGACTTTTTGAGTGCATTTTGGCTAAAAAGTTTTGTTTTAAATATAAATAGCATGAAGGAAAGGGAGCAGGATTGCGCAAAATAAATACATGAAAAAATGTAGGCATGAGACATGATTTCCAGTGTGGCTTCCCTACCAAACCAAGAAAAATCGAATGATTTCCTCTTGTTTAATTTGGCTCTTTTTAGGATCTCATTACCTATTCAAATTTACAGTTGCTTATATTTGCGGTCAAAAGTATATCCATATAATTAATAGAATTAGAGTGCAAGTCAAATGCAGTTATTCTTGAGTGATTGAATTTCATGGGAAATATTCACTGAGAGGGCCTAGGCTTTGGGAGTAATCATTTTATAATGAACAATTGCTCCATAACATTGTAAAACAGGCCTTAATCTAGGGAGAGAGGGGATGAAAGGAATCAAATCATATTCTCCACAAATGGTCCAAGATTTTGAACCATGTAAGAGAGGCCAACACTCCTAATTTCATAATAAGTAATGAACAAGCCAGTGGTTCAAGTGCCAATACATACTTTAACTGGAACAACAGCCCAGTGGGCCTGGTGCTCACAATTATGATGGGCCTAATTACAGAATCTTATCGACCAAAAACACTAAAACATTCCCAAGCATCATGTATCTGATGGAGATGGTGCTGGAGGGAAAGAAAACAGCAGCTATAAGAAAACACATACCCTATGCTAATCTCTCTCTAATTTATATTTTCATCTTTCAAGTAAAACCATAACTCCCAACAGCAGTGTCCATAGAGCAGGAAGTCAATGGGAACGGTAAAAGGGTGTGCCACTGACGCAAATCACGTAACCTGTCAAAAGAGGCGACCATGCCCAAAAAGGGGGCTTGTCTGCCCAAAGAATTGGAAGGCCAGCCTGGCATGAATGAATGTCAGGCTGCCTGCCAATCATGCATGCTGGCCAACTAAGGGCATACTATGGAGACAGCACCCTGAACTTGGCATAAATGAGTCTAATAATGTGCTCGCTCAACGCTTTCTAAGGACTGTCCCTTAGCACTCGCTGGTCCACTTGTCTCCTTACCTTCTTACTAGCAGAAGCTCCTGATATATAGTCTGGGACAGAGAAAAGCTGTTTATAGTGAGTGTAGAAGAAAGGGAAATTGCCACAGTGTTGGAGAGATCAAAGTCAGCATTACCTTAACTAATTTAATTGTCATACCGGCCTATGGGTGATATCACATGATGTAAATCACAAGGATTGACATAAGAGAAAATACTGTAAAATCACCAAAAAACTACTTACAGTTTGATTCTGCTGTATAGATTATTATTATTATTTTATTATTTATATAGCGCCATCAGATTCCGTAACGCTGTACAATGAGTGGACTAATAGATATGTAATTGTAACCAGACAACTGGACGTACAGGAACAGAGAGGTGGAAGGCCCTGCTCAATGAGCTTACATTCTAGATGGATTGCTCCCAGTGTCTCCCTGCCCCCCAATGTTCCTATGTATCAGTGTCCCCATGCACCCAGTGTCCCCATGTCGTCCAGTGTCTCAGTGTTCCCTAGTCTCCCAGTGCCTCCATGTCTCCCAGTGCCCTCATGACTTAGTGTCCCTATGTGTCGATTACCCCAGGTCTCAGTGTCCCTATGCATCAGTGTCTTAGTGCCCCATGTTTCCCAGTGTCCCAATGTCCCAGTGTCCCCTAGTTTCCCCTAGTGTCCCCTAGGGTCATGTCCCCAGGTCTCCCAATGACCCTATGTATCACAGTGTCCCTATGTATCACAGTGTCTCAATGCTCAATGTCTCCCAGTGTCCTATTGTCCATGTCGCTCAGTGTCCCCCAGTATTTCCATGTCTCTCAGTGTCCCCTAGTGTCTATGTCCACATGTATCCATGTCTCCCAGGGTCCCCATGTCACTAGGACACTAGGAACACTGAGACATGGGTATACTGTGAGGCATGGGGACACTAAGAGAAATGGGAACATTGAAACACTTAGGGCACTGGGAGACATGGGGACACTGGGAGACATGAGGACATAGACACTGGGGATGCTGAGACACTATGGACAGTGGGGGAAACGGGGACACTAAGACACTTGGAGATTGGCTGGGACACACAGGGACCCAGGGAGACTGGGGACACTTGAAGACATGGGGACACTGAGACACTAGGGACACTGGCTGGTAGACATGGGGGCATTGATACACCTGGGGCACTGGGAGACATGGGAGACATGTGGACACTGACACTAGGGACACTGGGAGACATGGGGACACTGGGAAACTAGATGATACTTGAAGACATGGGGACACTGAGACACTAGGGACACTGGCTGGGAGACATGGGGACACTGACACTAGGGACACAGTGTCCCCATGTCTTCCAGTTCTGTCAAATATCTTCCCATCTTGAGACAAAAGACAGCATTGGTGTGGAACTTTTTGGCCATTGGAGTGGAACTTTTTCTTTGGATTTATTGTATGTATTGGGGCTGATGTATACTGTGGTCATTGCTGCCGCCCAAGAGTAGTGGGAGTTTGAGTGCAGAACTTATTTTTGTGTATTAGCATCTGTCAAATGTTCCTGTGAAGTTTTATAATACATATCCTTGCTATTTAACTATCAAGCTACAATATGTTCTCATGAGATATATCCAGGCTCTTGTGTTTGGCCATCTCCATTACTGCTGGCAACTATTATTATTATTAATAATAATTATTAATAATACTAATAATAATTAAGATTATTAGTATTCTAACCATGCAACAATACTATTAAAATTTTTTTGTTTTATTAAGATTGTGTTAAACTGGTCAAAATAATGAAAATGGCCGCCAGACCACATGACCTATGATCATTGTACTGTAACGTGTACAGGTCTCTACCACTGTACCAAGATTTTGCACAAGTCTGCAGTGGTAGACACCTATGGTGCACTATATCCTATACACAAAAAAAAGTCAAAAGTGAAATGGTCATTTGCAACAAAAAGGTCACACAGCTTATTCTGATCTCGGCAACCAATTCCACAATATTTAATGAGTTAATTCTCAAGCAACCAACTTTTAAAAAGATTTTTAGCTCCTAGCGCTAGGTGGAATAGTATAAATTTCCTTTGGCAACAATTCCCTTTGTAAATGCTGCAGGGTAAGTTTTTTCCCTCTGGAGAAAACTACAAGTTAAATGCAAACATTTAAGTATATGTAAAGAGGCATTTTTTATAACCACATATTGCAGATCTAGCACTTAAAATCAAATACAATTTATTCACATTGATATAGGTCTTTAATGCAATGTATCTGTGCAATGTAATAACAGTATCATTAACAAAATGAATTGAGAGGCATGCATACAGAAGACCAATAAAGATAAGCTTGACCACAGTCTTTCTAAATGTGTTAATGTTAATGTTATGAAACATGTAGGCCGTGGTTGAGGTGATCTCTCAGGATCCAGTGAAAGCAGTGGAAAAGAAAAAAAAATCTTTATAATATCAGCCAAAGAACATCATTTATTTAACATGTTGTAAAATCTATACTTTAAGTAGAATCTATACCACCTTGAAACATCCAATATACACAAAACACAAATTATGGTTAAAATCACATCATTTAGGCTGGGACACAGCAGTAGGCTGAATCACTCTCAGCATGGTCCTAGTGCCCAATCTGCACCAGCATTTTGAAATCTGCAATCAGATTTCAAAATGCGGGAATGTTCTCTGGGACCAATTTTTGCTGAGACAGTACCCCAAAATTCAGAACTGTACTTGCAAATTCAGGACTGTTGGCACCCATGGCCAACAATCTGAAAATATGATAAGATTCATGGAAATGTGTGGAATTGTACAATTCTGTGGCAATCTGCAAGCCACGTGTCACGTGAAATGGTGGCCATTTTGTAATTTGCACACTGTTTAAAAAAACTCTAAAAATCTTTGATAAAACTATGTATACTGCAGGGGAAATGTTGTGCGAGGAATTATGTGATGGGCTGTATTTGTTCAGGAGAAGTTAATAAGGCAATCATTTTAAAATATTCCAAATCACTTCAGTGCATTTTTAAAAATAACTGTACAATTAAAACAGCTGAAAAAACTCTATAAAAACCTTTGTCTTGGTTTGGTAGCCATAACGGTTTATATTACAATAGTAACAAAATCTCAAACATTTTTATAAAGTAAAAATATTCGTAATTTACTTCTCTCTTTTCTATAAAGTATATCTATGTGTATGTGCTGTATTCATGCACTTATGCTTGGTCACCCACAAGAGGCAACCAGTCATGATTTTTGAAAGCCATTTAAAAATTGTTACAAATGTTTACATTTATTATTCAAATAACCTCAAAATTAAAGCCATTTGAGAAAACCATTTTTAAAATATTCCCATGCTAAATATCTATGGTGTGCACTGCCATTCAATATGGAGTCCATGCATTATTTTGGTATGCTATGTATATATTTTGCAGCTTACAGATTGGCCCATTTTCTCAACACTTTGGTTTGTGTTTCACGTTTAGTTCCTGAATTAACAGTTAGCTGAGCGGAACCAAAATCCAACCGAATGGAAGGTGTCTGAAAAACTTCTTACCTTTGGGGAAAAAATGATTTGGCAGAACCACAATTTCTAGCTGTGAACAAGTCTTGTTCTCATAGTTACCTCTTCTTCCTGGCACCTGAAGACTTACATTTCTTGTTTCCACATCCCCACTTGCAGATGAAATTGCTGGATATCCATCTATTGGACCAGTGTATGTTTTCCAGCTCTTTGTGTTTTGACATTTTTACTTAATACACAATGTACAGATGCAATCAGATGACCCAGAGATTTACTTTCAACTCTCACTCAGGGATTTACCTTCTGTTTCTTGCCAGGGGAACGAGTGCATGGGTAAAGGGTATGACTGCACACACCTGTCACACACCTGCCACACACCTGCCACACACTGAGATTTCAGGTCCAGCAGAGCAAACATATAATAGGGCCCAATTACAGGAGGTGGATTGTAACTGAGTGCACCTTCAGCATCTTCCAATCATGTTTCCACTGCCTGCGTAACACAAGTGGAGATCTCTATTATCTTCCTCAAAATATTATCAACATGATGATACCATGTTGTTTCTTGCACAGTACAGCACAACAGCCTTTTGTGTCAAGTACAGAAAAAAGAACAAAAAGATAGGTTAGCGCTAATAATAACAGAATGAATAGGCAGCGGCCTGACAGAGGGTAACCCTCTAACCTTCTACAATAGAAGAACGCAACAATAGAAAAGAAAGGCTGCGCCAAAAGGAGTGTTAAAAAACAAATGGTAAAAGTATATATAAATAAAATACTAAAAAATAGTCCCAATATATATTAGAGGTTGAACTGTAGTGGAAAATGTCTTAGGCAATGCTTCAGATGGTAGAGTATCTTCTCTGTTTATAGTAGTTCTGATCGTCTCGTGATATAGAAGATACAAGAAGAGAGGACCAATTGTGCGGAGTGTATAAAGTAAATATTTGTAAATTAAAATATAAATATTACACTCACATTTGGATGAGCTATGGCCAGCTCAGGTATAACAGGCATACAGCGGAACAATCCCCGGTTGTAAGATATATGGATGCTTGTCCATTAATTGTTTTTATGTTCCTTTTTCCCTGAGAGTTGGACACCATTCCCCTACGGAGGACAAGCATCCATATATCCTTCAAGCGGGGATGTGTTCTCTAGAGTAATGAATTGCTGTTCACTAAATAGCAATCTGATGTTAGAATGTGAGTATGGTGGATGCAAGAAAAGAGATACCAGATTGCATAGAATGTAGTGTAGAGTTTGGTGGAGGATGGCTAATGGCCTGGGGCTGATCTTCTTTGGCTAGGCCATTCCAGTGAAAAGTAACAGGATATACAGACATTATAGAAAATATAATGCTTCCAACTTTGTGGCAACAGTTTGGGGAAGATCATTTCCTGTTCCAGCATGATTCTTCCACAAGTACATAAGAGGGCCATGAAGGCATGGTCAATCTCTTAAAATATTAGCTACATAAATATTGCACGAGACCCCAAAACAAATTAAACATATAAATTACCTGAGGATAATGTTAACATGGGTGTATTTTTTTAAGGTGTAGCTCGGTTTTCTGTACAAACACACACATACACACGTTTGTGTGAAAGGTAAAATAAAGGAAAAGCATATGAGGCAAATATTGTTTGAATATGATATATACTTTTTACAGACAATACAGGTAATGTTCATTCAAACTATATTCCAGTACTACAAATAAGAAAATGGAAAAAAATATAGAGAGAAGATCCTGGTTATCAAAACAAGCAGAAAACAGGATGATGATGATGGAGGAAAAAGAGGGACGAAGAAATATGAAAAGAGAAGAGGGATTAAAGTAGCTATAGAGGAGAGATGGGAGGAGAAATGGAAAATGGAGAAGCAAAGGTAGTTAAATAGCAATATTTTAGGTGGCAAGATGTTTGTAGTCTAAGGAGGAAAAAATAATCCAATTGACCAAGTAGCCAGAAGCTCTAAATATACAATATTAGAACACATATATGAGGTAGCCAACTTCTCAATGTCTGTGCGAGTTATCTGAGGGAAAAAATATATAAGATGGTACATAGTCACCTTGCAAGCACAGACAACAGTAACAGCTGTTTGGTGCCATCTTGTGGCAATAGGATCATTGATGCATATTGGTTTATTAAATTAACTGATTTAAATACAATTTAGAATCATTGATATGTTCTTTCAGCTGTAAAATGAATCACTTGTGCAGTTGATTAAATATGTTTTTTTTCTCTCTACTTGCTTTTGCCAGTGTAATAAACATGAGATTTTCCTGTCACAGAACAATGTGTCTGCACGCAAAACTGATTTGGTTTCTAAATAGAAATGATGCAACCAGGTGAATACTTGTAGAGATTGTTATCTGGGACGATGCTTTTCGGAAATAATTGAAGTTACTTACTAAAGGTCAAATTTGCAGCAGTACATTTAAAGTAGGTTAGTTTTGTTATATTTCACATAAAGTTTTTACTATAGGTTACTAAAAGACAAACTGACTTGAAATATCAAATTAAATGGAAATCTTAACCATTTCAAATTATTTAAATATCTGAAATGTATATAAATAATTTCCTGAATAATTATTTAATTTTATTGAATATCAGCAAGTATAAAAATAATTATTTATTTTTGATGGTTAGATGGAAATATCACCCCATATGAAATATATTTGGCATATTTAGTTTTACTTTTACATTTTTTATTTAAATATTATTTTGGTTAATATATAACTTTTTTTGGGGGGAAAAACACCCTGTAAACACATATGTTTGATACATTGCAATTACAAGTTTGTTTCTCTAAGGGAATTATTTGAAAACACTCCATGCCCATATATTTAGAATCACTGGCATGAACTGGCCATAACTGGGTTTGGATAACTCAGCCTTGTCTACACTCTCTGCATTTTGGAGTTGGCCGTCTCCATTGCAAGTGTAAAGGTTAGATAGATGATGGAATTGCCTTGGTCCACTCTGTATCTCTGTCTATTGAACACTCCACAAAATGAGTGAAGCAGCATAATCCCTTCTTGTTCCTGATTGCTATTATTAAAGGGACACTATAATCACCAAAATAGCATTAGCTATGTGTGACTCACACAACCTACATTTAAAAATGGTTTCACTTTCAATCAGATGTTAATTTGCTTTAGAAGTATTTTTTCCTGCTCTGTAAATTGAACTGAACCACACACTGGAGGCACATGCAAGGTCTAGTAAGCTATTAACAGTGCAGGAGATAAGACATTCTAAATAAAGCAGAATGTGCTATAAATAAAGTAGAAACATTAGATCTAACTTTACAGGAAGTGTTTAGGAGGGCTGTGCATGTTACATGCAGAGAGGTGTGACTAGGACTGCATAAACTAAGTGATTTGACTTCTTAATGGCAGAGAATTGAGCAGTGAGACTGCAGAGGCATAATCTATACACCAAAACTGCTTCACTAAGCTAAAGTAGTTTTGGTGACTATGGCATCCATTAGCAATGGCTAATGCCCATATCTATCCGGAGGATTCACCCCTGTCTTTCAATTTCCTAATCACTCTATCCAGGTTGTGGAAGAAGAAATAGATGGGAATCCACATGCTCTCTCTCACTGTTACATAAGGTGTTACCCTGCCACATGTGGACAGTGCTATGCTGCCCCCTTATCACTACCCTAGTAGCTCTGATAATTAATTTGACTGATATAGTATCAATAATGTTTATTGCATAAAACAATGCAACCATAGAGTCAGATTCTCAATTTTTTTTTTTTTATTAAAATTCTGACAGGATTTTTGAAGCGCTCAAACAGCTTAAAGGGACAGTGTAAGCACCCAGACCATCTCATCTCATTGGAGTAGTCTGGGTGCAATGTCCCTGACCCACTTAGTCCTGCAATGTAAAACATTGCAGTTTTTTGAGAAACTGCAATGTTTAAATTATATTACTTAGACAGCCACTATAGGCGCTTTCAGGAGTTTATCGGAATCCAGGTCCCCTATATCAGTGCTCCTCAACCCTCTCCTCAAGGCACACCTAACAGTCCAGGATTTAGGGATTACCCAGCTGTGTCTAAGGTATTTAGAAAAAGAAATAAAAACACCATAAAGACTAAGGTGTTTTTATTTTTTTATTTTTTTAAAACACTTAGACACACACGGGTAATACCCAAATCCTGGACTGCTGGATGTGCCTTGAGGAAAGGGTTTAGGAGCACTGCCCTATATGACACTGGATGTCCTCATGCACTGCACTGCATGAGGACATCCAGCATCAGTGAAATCCCTATAGGAAAGTGCTTTTCTATGGGGAGGGCATAATGAGGTCAGTGCTTTTCTATGGGGAGGGCATAATGAGGTCACAGAGCTCACTGCGCATCTGCATTAGGTCCACCCATTGGACGCTGGAGGAGGTGAAGTGCCGACCTAGTGAAAAGGCACATCGGCACTGGAATCGGGTAATTAAAGGGTTTGAACCCCTACTGAGGGTAAGTAGATAAAAGGTATTCCAATCAATATAGTATCCCTTGAAGAATACTTTGAAGAGTGCATTTGAAAACTCTTCATCACAAATACAGAAATCTTGTGAAGTTGTCACTTTCCTTTTTATTAATTAACAGCAACTATATGTGCTATGTTACACTGGAGCAACAAAAAATTGCATTACAAAACTACCTTTCCACAGTTTTCTCTTATTCAGTGTAAAATTATTTATCTCTTTACTATACTGACTGTCTTTAGTTTGTCGGCCTGTGGTGCAGATTTTCACCTTCAAAACTAGAAATCTCAGGTTTTTTTAACATATAAGTGTTGTTCATTTTACATACAATTATTCTTCGATGAAAATACGTTTGTTGAACCATAACCCCTTTGCCATTTTAGAATGCTGATAGAGGACTTAAAATAGGGGTAGTTCTATTTGCCTGGAACAACAAAAATCCAAAAAGTCAAGGAAAGAAAAGAGACAAAGTGATAAAAGGAACATATCTAAGCTTTGGGACATGTCACCAAGGTATCACAAAAATGGGAGAGGGGAAGAGGGTAGGGAAAGGGAAAATAGGAAAAATATAAAACTAGAAGTCAAAAACAAAGAAACCTCTGACAGAGTCTAAGAGTTCCACATTCAGGAAAAACAAATAAAGATTAAACATCCTTGTGACTGTGAGGTACAAGAGTAAGCTTTCCATTACCCTTCTGGATTCTGTTGTAGACACTCTTGATTAGACACACTCTTGATTAGACAATGAAAAGGTCTGCTAACAAGAAGTGCTACTAACTCATCAACATGTCAACGGTTATGGGACACATTCGTTCAAACACGGCAGACTATTATCTACAAACACAGAATTACATATTTAAAACTGACAGATCGGTTAAATTAAAATCTGGCCATTTTACTTATAGCTAGGTGCCAAAAAGATTGTGGTGAGGCCAAACGCAATAAAACCCCACAGTGCAATTAGAAATAATATTTTTATAGCTGCATATCTCAGGTTGTACTTTGGACAGTCCATCTTGGGTATACAGGCTACAGAAATCATGTTTCCATAACAACCCCAGAGTTCCCAGCTTGATATGCAAATGAGTACAGGCAGGCATTGGGTTTTAGACTTCATTTTCCATTTCTTCAGGTACCCTTGACAATGGACACTGTTTTAAACATAGCTTTTTTTTTAAATCATAGCATAGGTCGTGATCTGAAAGGACTAGTGACCAGAAACCAACCATGGACTGCAGTTTGGACCTCTCATCATATATGTAATTACCTGCACCACTGGCTGGTCCATTTAAAGACAACTTAAGAGTCACTAGAAGAAACAAAAGTAAAATAGGTCTCACTACACCACCAAAGGGAAAGGAATAGACCAATTTTCTCTCTTTCTTATTTCAGATTGCCAGCATTAATCTTTGAAGGAATGTCTGTCATCTCACTAATGTCAAGAGAATAAATGTGGGTTTTGGTATAGTACAAAACGTATCCTCTCACAGTTATCATGTAGGTCAGACATAGGCAACCTTCGGCACTTCAGATGTTTTGGACTACACCTAACATGATGCTTTGTCAGCATTATGTATGTAAGAGCATTATGGGGGATGTAGTCCACAGCATCTGGAGTGCAGAAGGTTGCCTATCCCTGATGTAGGTTATGATACATATTAGGTTTGTAATGGGTGGTCCAGTATGCTGTGTTTTAATCATATTTCACTTGCATATATCATCTACTTGTGTTACATGTACCTGTCACTACTTGAACAAAATTTCTCCCAGATATCGTACATCACTTTGTCAGTTGTAGATGATAAAGTAGTGATTTATATTTAGATAAATGAGTGCAATTGTGGGGATATGGAGTGTGATATATGGCTCTTAAATTGTCATGGATGTGTCATAGTTCTTGCCTTGAAATCCGGAATAGTTATAAGACTATTTCATTATCACTTTTGGAATGCTTCCTTTGGCGGAGAAGTCTAGATATATTAATATGTAGCAGTCATGGGTATGTGCCCTTTCACATTTATTTTTGTTAATATTGTGTAATTTTTAGAATTACTTTAATTATTGGTCTTATTATTGTAGCTGTGTTTGGGTATATTACTGTTTTTCCTTTTTGTTTGACAGTGTTGATGGGTTAATTATTTTTTGTATGTATGATCTGGTCCATGCATAAAAGCTTTAACATTTTTTTGCCTTGAAGATAACTAAAAAAATAAATATTTTATTTTGTCTACTCAAAGGAGACATAGGTTTAAGTCCAATAATACAAAAAAGTAATACATCCTTTAGTTCGTCCAGCAAATTTAGTAAATATGAGCCAAAAGGCCAGAATGAGCTTTTCTTCTATTTGTTGAATAATCCTGAACGTTTTTTATTTGTATTAACTCTATCATGCAAAGTTGGATTTCACAACTGAAATAACAGTAATTGAACTACAAAATAGACGTGTGTCCATCAAATTCAGCCTGTCTCACATTTGATTTTTGCTGTTGATCCAAAAGAAGGCAAAAAAAGTCTGTAAATAATTCTAGTCTCCCGATAACCTTTAATAATAATAATAAGAATAATAGTAATAATAATTTTATTCTCCCCATAGACTGTATACATTCTATTCTCCCAACAGACTTTATTAATAATAATAATAATAATTGTGTTCTCCGAATAGACTTAAATAATAAAAAAGTATTTTATTCTCCTGATAGACTGTATAAATTTTATTCTCCCAACAGACTTTAAAAGGATTATTTGAACAAAAGTACAATGAAAATTATATTTTATCTACATTTAATAGAGTAATTTTATTGTCAATCAATATTTATTCTTTAAAAAAATTAATTTTCTTTTTATTTGTAAAAATGGACAAAACATGAGAAAAAAAAAGAGAGAGAAATGTCCTACTATGTTCAGATTTGTTTCTACAAATTCAACTTTATTCACTAAACTTGTAATAGCTCAGTAATCAACATACAAAATATATACTGAAAATGATTGCATTTGATTAAAAGCATAATTCAGTTACATGATTTTTCTGACATTTTATAGTCTAAATTTAACAAGTTGGTTTCTGTTGTCACTACATGTTGCTGTTTAGTAAATAAACCCCGGATGACTTTCAGATGTTAAATTAATTTTATGAATCATGTTTCACATTGAAAGAAACAGATTCGTTCACAACAAATAGCCCCAATATATCTGTATTTGTACTCACAATAGAGATGCAAGTATTGCTATAACACTTCTAGCAAACAAACTGAAAGAGGAAGTGAGAAGATTAAAAAATCAATTAAATAGATCAATACACCTTAGTCAGGTTATCAAAGACATCTAAGTCATTAAATAGAATTAGATACAAATAAAACCTCTTACATCTAGATGCTTTTTAAGTTTATTTCCCTAATAAAGAAGCATAAAAAATGCATAATGAAAGACAATGTGAGAGCAGTAGAAACACTACAATGAAGGCAAAAAATCAATGAGGTGGAAAAATGTAAGGACAAAGATTGGATTTCATAGCTAAATTATTCTGTTGGATTTCACATCTTGATATTATATTGAAATTTTATGTGCATACAAATTGTATTTCATGGCAGCATTAAAGGGTAGCTTTTTCAGTGCACTTTGTGGGGAATTAGAGATGCAAATCCCATTAACATTAATGGATGTTGTGCACTTAATTCCCTTCAAACTGTGCTGACAATTTACACTAAATAAGCGTGTAGTTAACACTTTATCACAAAACAGTGGGAAATGTCAGCAAAGCATTTTGTTGAGAATCCATAAAAAAAAAAAAAAAAGATCATTGATGGTCATAGTTCAAAATTGTTTGGAACCTAAAAGAATTTGTGTAGATTTTTTTAATTTATGGGCGATCAGTAATGCTTGGTGATTCTGTTCAAAACACCGACATTTGTACCTTCTCTATGGCGCTGGTTGCTCAATGTCAAATGGTTAACAATCAGAACAATCTTGTTGGATGTCAAACGCCCTACGTCAATCCTAACGGCAAAAGATTAATTATTTGCGGTTACGATTTATGCATATGTATTAGGTATGCACTTTTTTTTTTATCTTCAATTGATTCTAAGATTGTATTATTCTTATGTTTCTGGACAAATTCATAAGGATTTGGGCTTCGTAGACTTTTAGTTTGTGAAATATACATTCTACTGTAATAATCAGTGTAATTATGCCATGTTGCCTATTTATTTTGCCATTTGAACAAATGTTTTTAGAATATATTATGTTATTCAAAATGGGTTTGTTGGTGAAGTATGGTCATTGGAAATGCTTAGGTCATGATGAACTAGAATAGTTTATGTACTAAAGGTCAACTTTGCTGTAACAAAGTTGCCCAGAAGGACATGGGGCAATTTAAGTCAATTTGGAGCCTAGCTTGAATGGACTTCTCTCTGTTATTAATTCAAGTGTGAATTGTCATGAATTCAAAATGAAATTAAAGTTTTGGACCAAAATAGCCATAGTGGAAATATCTCCAAGTCAGTGATGTTTTCAGTTCTAACTTTGAATTCTCAACAATTTTAAAGACAATTGCACATCTTCTTGTAAGGTCCTTTTGTCTCCTGATTGCAAGGATAAACAAGGAAATGAAGATAGACTTGGGAACAGTGAGCAAGATATTTAGGACTGTGCACTCTACAGCTTAGATACCTTGGCAATAAATGGACTGATGCAGACTGCATTGTGGAATCAGGGTATGGTACCTGATGAATAAAGTTAAGACTTTACATACTGTAGAACAGGGTTGTCAAACATGCGGCCCCCCAGATGTTGCTGAACTACAACTCCCATGATTCCCTGGCTATCTGTTTAATTGAAAGAACCATGGGAGTTGTAGTTCAGCAACATCTGGGGGGCCGCATGTTTGACAACCCTGCTGTAGAACATGGAAACCATGGCTGCAAGAATATGGAATGGAATGAAAGGAAGAGATCTAGAAAATAAGGGTAATTGAAATGTGTACTGAGTATACTGAAGAGACCAGCAATGGGATTCGAATGCCTCTTTCAAAGCTGGCCTGACTGATTGTAAGTGGTCTGTAGACTGAAAGTAAGAGATCTGTAAGAGACAAAATACCTGGTAAATGAATCCAAAATAAGTGGACATTCAGAACAAGAGACCTAGGCATGTAGCATTAGAGACTATGAAAAAAGGGGACTAATGGTAAGAGGCATAACAACTGAGATTAAGAATCGTAGGAGTTGAAGGCAAGGAACCCGTGAAGAGTCAGGGTTAGAGATCGTGGCAATGTGAGGATAGGACTAAGGAACTGAGCATAAGAAATCTTGAAACTGGATAGACTAAGGGTATAAAAAAATAACAATAAAGAACCAATAGGATTCAATCTTTCAGTGGAGGAAAAAACTATTAATTATTAAATTAGTAATTGAATTCCTATTATACCAGACTTTACCATTGGTTAAAATACACATCATTGGTTGTAAGAAAACAGCAAATATTGTTTTTGAAATATTATTATTATGATATTTATAGATCGCCATCAAATTCAGCAGCGCTTTACAATGGGTGGACGAACAGACATATAGTTGTAACCAGACAAGTAGGACACACAGGAGCAGAGGGGTTGAGGGCCCTGCTCAATGAGCTTACATGCTAGAGGGAGTGGGGTAAAATGACACAAAAAGGTAAGGATAGTATTAGACTAGTGACAGTTGCAGAAGAGGAATCAGTTGGGAGCTATTAACTGTTTAATTGATATGATTTTATGAAGAAGTGGGTTTTTAATGATTTTTTGAAGGAGTGGAGACTGGGTGAGCATCTAACGGAGGAGGGAAGTGAGTTCCACAGGAACGGTGCAGCCCTCGAGAAATCTTGAAGGCGAGCATCAGAGGTGGGAGTACGGACAGAAGATAGACGTAAGTCTTCAGCAGATCGTAAGGGCCTTGATGGGACACACTTGTGTATATCGGAGGATAGATAGGTGGGAGCAGCATTATTTAGAGATTTGAAAGCAAGAACCAGAATTTTAAATTGAGCTCTATATTTTATAGGAAGCTAATGTAGAAGGATGAGGCATGGGAGGTGCAGGCGGACAGGAAGATGAGCCGCGCCACCGCATTCATTATGGACTGTAACGGCGCAAGTTGGGAGCACGTAAGACCACTGAGAAGCAGATTATAGTAGTCAAGGCGAGAAAGGACAGTGGAATGGACCAACACCTTAGTCGCATCTGGCGTTAAGTAGGGGCGGATGCGCGCAATGTTTTTGAGATGGAAATGTCAGGATTTGGCGATAGATTGAACATGAGGCTTGAAGGAGAGGTCGGAGTCAAAGAGAACACCTAGGCAGCGAGCCTGCGTGGTGGAGCTGATGGTAGCACCGTTGACTTGGAGGGAGACAGACACAGGAGTAACAACACTAGAGGGAGGAAAGACCAGAATTTCAGTTTTGGTCAAGTTTAGTTTAAGGAAGTGGGCAGCCATCCAGTTAGAAACAGCAGAGAATCAGTCAGAGACACTAGTCAAGAGGGATGGGGAGAGATCAGGAGAGGACAGGTAGATTTGTGTGTCATCTGCATAGAAATGATATTGGAAGCCAAAGGAGCTAATGAGTTTACCAAGGGAGGCAGTATAGATGGAGAACAGTAGGGGACCAAGGACTGAACCTTGGGGGACACCAACATAGAGAAGTTGGGGAGAAGAAGCAGAGCCAGAGAAGGAAACACTGAAAGAGCGCTGGAGGAGGTAGGAGGCGCACCAGGAGAGAGCAATATCTTATAGACCGATATTGCGGAGGATGAGAAGAAGCTGTTGATGATCAACAGTGTCAAAAGCCGCAGACAGGTCAAGGTAGTGACCATGAGATTTTGCAGCGAGTAGATCATTGGATACTTGGGTCAGTGCCGTTTCCACAGAGTGCTTAGCGCGGAAACCAGACTGAAGCGGGTCTAGCAGAGAGTTGGACTCGAGGAAGTCTGTCAATCTTGCATACACAATTCTTTCAAGGATCTTGAATGTAAAAGGCAGTAGCGAGATAGGACGATAGCTGGATGGGGAGTTAGGGTCAAGATTGGGCTTCTTTAGAATTGGGGTTACAGTTGCATGTTTGAAAATATGGAAATATACCAGAGGAGAGATGAAATATGATTCTTTCCTTGTGCTAGGTTAGGTGTCCTGAAAAAGTAAATTACCAAATCATTTTCCTCCCATCCCTATGATGACCTGCTCTGAAGACCTCTTTTAATGAAATTGTCATAGGAATTGTCTTCAACCCCCAGTGCTCGTACATGATCTCCCTAGCCAGTGTTAACTGCACTCTGCTGCTTTACCAAAGACAAACATAATTTGATAAGCTTATCTTAAATAATAGGATTTGGCCCCTCTTCATGCAAAATCAGCCAATAAGCACTGATAATACCAACAGTCGGTAGATGTTTGCAGCTAAAAAATAGCAACAGGTTTCCTCGCCTATATTTAACATCTTCATACTACTCACAACTGGTTCCACTGATGCTGACCAACACTTAGTGTTTATTATTTTGCAAATTGGACATATATTAAGAAAACACCTTCGCCTCTGATTCATTGCTACAGGACAACAAGAAAGTATACATGTATACAACTCAACTAGGAAAATATAAAGGTGCTCTTAAAGGGAAACTGCCATGTCTATCCTTTTAAAGAGAATACCATATTATGCAAGGAGATTTGGTAGCAAATATATAGATTTAAAGCAAAACCTATTTAAAAATATATATTTATTTTACCTGTAAGCCAATTCTTTGTCATAAACTCTTTGCTGAAGAACTGACTGCCACGGGAGAGTAGAAAGGACCTCCCACATGCATGATCTCTTCCTGCTCTCCACACATAGTAGCAACAGCACATGCACTGTGATTGCTATGGTAACTCACTAGTCAACACTTCTAGCACTGGCTAGGGAATATAGGAGTGGAGTGACTAACATCACTCTGTTCAGATGCTGGCAAGTTGGCAATAAAGCCAGAGTTTTGGCATTACAGAAGAAGATGGCTAGTGAAATTCAGGAAAAGACTGGGCAGAGCAAGGGGTTGACCTGAAGTGGGTATTATAGAAGATTAACATACACAACGCAGAGGACATGGCAGCACTGTATTGGATGTAAGGTGACTGTATCTCAAAACGTTACATTGAATACATCATGTATCTCTGTAACACACTTTGAATATTCAGTGCATTTTGGGCTGATTTAGGTAACCTTCAAATATGTATGACTGATTGACCTTAAATATACAGGATTATACCATACCGTGCATTTTTAAAATATCAGACATACTGAGGTATGCAGTTACTCACTTATATTTTGCACTTTTTACTTAGCTGAAGTAGACATAAAGTTCAGTGAGCTAGCGATTGCATCAAACCTAGTGGTAATTTTTATCATCTACCATGGAAGCCAGACGGTAGTTAGCATATATCATCTCCTAATAATCTCTACACAAGACTTTAACACTTTACTTTAACCAATTGTTAAATGTTACGTTTTGTAGCATGGATACAGCCAGATACCACTATTGCTAACTATGGCCATTTTATCCTTATAGAACTTGTCAGCAAATTAATTCTCTAAGAATGGAAATTAACCCTCTGTTTCAACAAATACATTTCACTGATAGATTGCATGCATATAAATGTGAAAACGTATTTTATAATATGGTGGAAAATGTGTCCTATAAATTAATAAATATTCAGGGGTCACAGTTCCCATTTTTTTTAGACCTCACTTTTAAAAATGTTTGAATGGATTTTCAGAAATGCATTGTTGATAACTTTAATGATTTGCTTTACCTTTTCAAGAATTCTTTGTGCCAGACCTTTGTGTAGAATTGCGTTGTGTTCAGGTGACTGAAAGAGAATGAAAAGACAGTATGAAACAAGGAGTGAATATCGAAGAACTATTATTCACATTGAGTTGATTTTTTTTTCCACTTTAATATTTAATTCAGTCAGAACATAAATTCATACTGACAGATGTAGTTTGACCTTCTAAATAAAAGAAATCTATTGCGGTATAATTAGTAAAATTAACTTTGCTTAGTTTCTTTTCTCTTGCATTCGAAAAAATTACTGGCCTGGGGAGCAATTAAGTGACCTAACATGTCAGATCGCAAGAAAATGTGTTACATATGCTTTTGTTTGGAATGACAGGCTAACCGTATAGGCTGTATTGATGCAGACTCAAATCTCTTGTTGCTTCATTTTTAGATTTCCAAAATTGAATAATTACATTGATTTCTAAAATGCTCAGACAGTTGTTACCATTATTACTACAATTGACATGGTACATAATTCATATAATATATCAAGGACTGAAGATTGAAAAACAAGTTTTGTAGTCAATTTTTAATCCGACTTTTCATCAAATAGCATCTCAGATACACAACAGATATCTTTTGTGTAAACTATGTTAGGAACTTTTGCACAGTTACAGTTGAACACCATGGGCTATATAGAGTTATTCACAAAAATGTGAATTGCCAGGAATTCAAGATAAATTAAAAGTGAATTTCAAGTTCAAGGCCAAATTAGCTAATTTAGAAAGATTCTCTGTCAGCTATATTTAGCTATTTTAGTCTAAAATTTGAAATTCACTTTGTATTGTCTTTGAATTCCCAACAAGTCTTTCTTTAGTCAATAGCCTTGTGCACCTATTTCTGAATTTTGCTCAGACAAACTCAACACAATAATTCCTGCATGCTTTAAAAAAAAAAAAAAAAAAGGTGGTAAATCACACCTATGAATGCTGACCTGTCCTGAATTTCACTATAATTACTTGCTAAGTTTGGAATGTGAATGAGAAATATGTAAAGAATCGCCAAAATGTAATTAGAATCGTGAAAATGTATTTATTAAACCCTTTACTACCAAAAGCTTTTGTATTGAAAAAAATATTAGGATAAACAGGGGATGCCTAGCAAGCACATACACATATCGCAACACAGTGATTTTATGTATAGATTACTTTATAGAAAAACTTTAAAATACAAATTATGTACATGTGCACAATTTTTATTTTCACTTATTCATCCTTTATAAAAAATATTTTGGAAAAGAAAAACTGTAGACAGTATACAGTGTCCTTTATTTTGCAATATTTCACATAGGTTCTAAAAATATTAGTATACAAGCAAAAATGCTATTTTTCACACATACGATACAATGACAAACATACATACATAAAAATGATCAATTACCTGCCCACATACATTAATACAGTTAAATCATATATATGTAAACATTTCTAATGTAATGCTGGCAGTGAAATTAGTCCAGTCACTCCTTCCTAATTGCAGGAATGCTATCACCAATTGAAACTTAATTTACTGTTTGATATCAGGGTTTAGCTTACATTTTCAGCAACTTCACATTCATTATATCAGTGACTATTAGCTTCTGGTATAGGTATTTGTTTTTCTACCAGCTGGCAACCATAACTAGAGTGTAAATGAGGTAAAGAGATACTTTGTTGGCTAGATTTCTTCCTAAAAAATCCATAAAAATAAAAATGTTTATGCTCAATTTTGATATTAAGGCGTTAAAGATAATTTAGATGCATATTCAGAGATCTGTGCAAGATAAAGTAATGTCAAAATGTTTAAAAAAGTAAACTGTACCTGAAACCACATAGTGTGTCTTGGAGCAGCTGTATGGAAACTTGACTCTTGAGGACAACCAAGGAAGCATAGGCAAGGAGTCGTAGTGGTCCAAAATTCTGATTAGTTATTGTGTTGGCACTCTACTACAGGGCGGTGCAGGTATTACCCCCATAAGGACCTCAATAATATATACAAATAAATCACTATTAAGGCTGCACTCAATTGCATTTGTTATGCGTCAAAAAGAGTAATCAATGTGTTGAAATGTAAAATTCATTTATTGTACACTAATAAAGAGATCAAAAAAGCAAAAAAAAAAAAAGGACCACTATTGCGAAAGATATACAGGATGGTGCACACTCTAATAAATCATCTACTGTACAATAGTTTATAGAAAAAAATCATAATATATACAAAATATGTACAAAGTATATACACCCTTCAAATTGATAGTTAATGATGAGTGATAGTTCATAAACAGTCCGGTGAATCCACCAATAATTGATCAAGTGTTTGATAATTTTATAGACAATTAATAGTCTGATTAGACAAAAACAGTTATCTTATATGTAAACAAAAAGCAAAAAATGAAACCGTAGAAAAGAAGTAAAAAATGAAGAAAAATCTAAGCAAAATCAGAAGAAAAAAATAATTTAATTAATTCTGAACAGTTGGCAAGTTTGTGTTAACCTTCATATAAAACGTGAATGCAACTTGATACCTTTATATTCAAATGGTTTAAGCCTAACCATTGCTCTTCACATTATTAAATTAGAGAGTTGGAGAGTTGATGAATGCACTGTTCATTCCATAGACATCCACCAAAGTATTTTTGTTTCTTTTGTGTTTTAAGAGGGTTTCACACCAATTACTACATTATTAAGATGTATACAACACCATGTCGCTTACCTATTGATACATAATAACTGTGTGCACAGCAGCAAGGAAGACTGGACATTCTGACCGCACAAAGGATGCATATTTCAGAGACAACTCTGTGAACCCTTCCATGAGCAGATTAGTGGCAGGAATTTGACCATAAGCATACAACAGTAACTTTTATTGGTAAACATTTTTCCAAGGCATTTGGCTACTCTATTTCTGCAAATCTTAGCAGGCACACTATATCACAATCACTAAGATGTTTTCAAAATCATGTGCTGTTTATTAATATCTTGGTAAGATGAAAAACCATTTAGTATAAAAATGCATATGGAGCAGGCAAAAATATATATATAAAAAGAACCATAATTTGCAAAACATGATATAAGGTAAAAGGAAAAAAAAACCACAAACCCTTAAAGTCGTTTGCCGTGTTTTGTGTCTGGGGTTGCTGTATCTCTCGTGCAGAGAGAACTTGCTGGCATTTCGGATCTGGACTGCCCGTATGGGTGGGACCAGTCTGATATGCTTCAGATATGTTCTCTCTGTAATGGCACAAGATGAGCAAAAATCAGCTTGAGAACTGAGCGGGAACCGACCGAAGGGCAGGCTATTTCAGCTGCTGCCCGTCCTCAGTATTCTCTTGCAACCTATTTTTGACTCTCTAACAGATGCTATCTTAACAGCTTGCCCTAAATGATAAAGGGAGATTATAGAGAGAAAAGAATAGAGTAAAAAAAATGAGAATTGATTCTAGGTTCTTTTAAAATGTTGATTTCTGCAAAAAATTGTTCTTTCAATCTTAAAAACAGTTTCCATCACTGACGAAGAATTAGCACTTTCTAAATGCTAATTAGTCATGGGCATAAGGCTGTGCTGATGTTAAGACTGGGAGGCATGCAGATCAGTGTGGCCAGTTTTCAAATTAACAAATACAAATTAACAATCATATAATAGAAATTAGTTCAAAGTATTTCATTAAAGTTTAGAAACAACTTTTTTATTTCTTGTCTGTATTAAAACTACATTTTTATCAAATGTTATCAAAGTCACAAAAATATTTTAAAACTTTGTCTTCACTTGTCAGAAAGCTATTTTTAAAATTCTATTTGTATATTGCATATTTCTGAAAGGTCACATTTGAGTCTAGATGCTATTTTTATGTACAGTTGTGCATGAAGCAGATTACGTCTGGATTACCCTGCTGTTAGAATACAGTTTATTGGAATTTAACTCTTTCCAATTGATCCGAGCCACCGTGGTAGCTTAGAGTATTCGAAGGCATAACTTTAATTTATCTAGTATTGGGTTTTGGATTTTATTTGGTGAGACATACCCAGGGGTAAGAAAAGGCAGGATTGCTTGCCAGTAATGAAATGGATTCTTTGAATGGATTTGTGATGTATGACAGATGGTAGAACACAGTTTGATGAGGTTCATACAGCTTATGAGTTAGGGCTGAAACATTAGATATAGCAAGATATTGCTGTGAGATACATAATGGTTAACCATGTACAATAGAAAAATAATGTAACTGAAGGTTATAGAGATATTGTAATAAAGGTCACAGTTTGAGTGGATTGTGAATGTTTTCAGAACCCCAAGATGTTATATTCACCAAATAGTTAACTGTTTGTGATATTACATTGTATTTTTAGGTTAGGATTCATTCTGTAAGAGTTAGAGAAGTGTAGGGTTTAAAGGGACACTACATACACCTAAAGCACTTTAGCTCTTTTTTCATTTTGCAAACATGTTAGATTTGAATAGAAATTGGCACAATATAAATTACACCTGTTACACCACCATGACTGTCAATCAGGCAAAGATCACCTGCCTTGCAAAGACTTCTCGTTGAACTGCATTTGTAATTGTGTTCTGGATTAGAAGAGATACTTTGTTGGCTAGATTTCTTCCTAAAAAATCCATAAAAATAAAAATGTTTATGCTCAATTTTGATATAAAGGCGTTAAAGATAATTTAGATGCATATTCCAAGATCTGTGCAAGATAAAGTAATGTCAAAATGTTTAAAAAAGTAAACTGTACCTGAAACCACATAGTGTGTCTTGGAGCAGCTGTATGGAGACTTGACTCTCGAGGACAACCGAGGCAGCATAGGCAAGGAGTCGTAGTGGTCGAAGCATACGCTTCCTACAGGAGATCTGTGTTTTTGATCTGCAATCGGAAAACTTTTATTAAATGACTTGCTTTCCCCATAGCTCATTATCATACTTACTGTAGAGAAATGTAGAAAATATAAGTCTTATATCTACATATGCAATCTAAGCACAGTAGATAAGTGGAAAGTCTAAAGACATTCTCCAAAAAATAATTTCTCAATCCAAATCACTGGGAAACAAATGGAAGAAGAAAAGTAAAACCCATGTGGAATAATAAAGGGATCAGTCAAGTAATAAATAATAAGAAAAGGACATTTAAAATACTTAAATCAGATGGGTAAATAGCTTCCTGTAATTACTATAAGCACACCAGCAGGGCTTTCAAAGGCAGTTGGATGGGCTACATTAGGAAATGAAATATTCATAGCCAAAGAGAGCAAGAACAACCCTCAATAGTTTTTTTTAAGTACATTAATGCCAAAAAGGTTAAGAGTAAAAGTGTTGGTACATTGAAATCTGAGATATGTGTGTTATTTAAGGAGGATCAGAACAAGGCTTTAAATATTCTGTTTTACTTTGGTATACAGCAAAACTAAATCTTATGATATAGATTTGCTAATCACTGGTGCAAAAGAAGTGAATGGTTAACAAAGAATAAAGTGCTACAGTAATTAAATAAGATAATCATATAAAGCTCTAGGTCCAGATGGTATTCACCCACAAGCACTTAGTGTAGAAATATCCATAACACTGTTTTTAATGTTAGCATTCTTTTCTTTCAGAAATCGTACCAAAGGTATTGGAGACAAGAACATGTATTGACTATATTTAAAAAGTGTTCAAAAGCTGTGAGAAGATGGTTCAAAAGCTGTGAGAAAATACAGACCTGTGAGCTTAACAATTGTGATTGGGAAATGGTTTAAAGGACTGTTAAAGACTAATATTAAAAAAATGTAATTTGAACAATCATAAGTTGACATTGACATGGTTTTATGAAGGACAGGTCATGCCAAACTATCTTAGTTGCCTTCTATGAAGAAGTTAGTAGAAATACTGTTTAAATTTAAAACTGTTGGTGTAGATGAAAAGTTATGTTCTTGGATAGAATACTGGCTTAAATATAGAGTGCAGAAAGCAGTTGCAAATGGAGCATTTTCAAATTGAACAAAAGTGGTAAGTGGAATACCTCAGGGTTCAGTCAAGGGTCCACCCCTCTTTAATCTGTTTAGAAATGATCTTGAAGTGGGAATTCCAAGTCATGTGTCAGTGTTTGCAGATGACACTGTGTAAGATAATACAGTCCGAACATGATAGAATTTCTCTTCAGTCTTGCATTTTGGAATAAGGAGTCTGTTAAGAGGCAAACTGTGTGTTCATTGCCCTTGTATGTACATGGCACAGTGACAATAATGTTGAATCTGAATCTGACAAGCATGTATGTAGGAACAATTATAGATAAACTAAGCAACAACGTGCAATGCCTGTCTCCTATTTCAAAGGTTAATTAGGGGCTGTCATGTATAAAAATTTATATTGATTCGCATGATCAAAATATAATTTTGCCTATTTATAAACCAATGGTAAGGCCCCTCCTTGAATATGCATTGCAACTTGTGGCACCAATTTTAAAATACATTGCAGAACTAGAAACATGCAGAGGTGATCTACAAAGTTAATAAGGAGGATATAAAATATTAGTTATGAAGAAAGGCTAAAGGCTAAAAACTTCACATGTTTTCTTTAGAAATAAGGTGTCTCTGAGTAATAGAACTAAATAAATAAAGACAGGGCAGGAGAAATTGATATGTGCTAACCTCTTCTTAAGTTTGGAAGTAACGTGTTTTCTCTTTCAGCAGAGGAAAGAGTTATTTACAGTAAGAACAATAAAGATGTAGATTTATCTACCCAAACAGTTTGTCTGGTCAGATTCCAGAGATAAGTTTAAAAAAATGTCATATTTTATTGTAAAAAAAGAATATTCAAGGATATATGTGTATGAACAGGTTGTTGATCCAAGCAGAATCTGATTGCCATTATGGAGTCAAGAAGGAATGTTTTTCCATTTTTGTGGCAAATTAAAAAATCACTTCAATGTGTTGCCTTCTTTTGGATCAACAAAATAAAGGAATAGGTGAATTTTAAAGGTTGAACTTGAGTTGTTTTTCAAAACAAATTACTATGTAATTTGTTTTGAAAAACAAATTACATAGTAATTTATCCTTTATGTGAAGCAACACACGTTTTATCCTAGTGTGTTGCTTCACATAAAGGATATTCATATACAAGACAGTGATAACCCTTGTTGAACAATATCCTTCTTAAAGAACTATAAATATTTAGTATTGGTACTAAAGTAATCTGTGTTGCAAAAATACATGTTATTACCTTATTTCCTGAACAAACACTCACGTTTAAAAAAAAAAAAAAAGCATTTGTTATAATAGATCTGTCTATCATTCACATCACCACTTGTGTGGTGAGGGTGCAAGTTACTATATAATACTATATTATGATAATTATATCATAATAATTGTTACTATGTTATACAAATATACACATTCCCCTTGCTGCCCCTTGCTCCTTCTTCCAACTCATGCATCATGGGTTGCAGGATTATGCAGATTTCTTATAATTGCTCCATATCTGCTAATAAATAAAATAAAATGTATGGTTCCTATTTCCACACTCACCTGCAAAAAGAGACGGAATGAGTGGACCTATACTTCTTACTCACACCATAGGCAGTGGACTTTGGACCTACTTGCTCCAGGCTCTATAACACCTCATACTGCCTAGAGGAGATCAGAATTATATTTTTCGATCTCACCCACGTGTACATAGTGAAGTGTTTATAATAACAAATAATAGTCAATAGAACTCTCATTCATAGTTCGTAGTTTTGTTATTTCAGTTTTACTAACTTAATGCTTTTGTTTGTCGAGTCCATACATTTGTTCCAATGAGCAAAAAAACACAATTTCAAGTTCTATTCTAGGCTTACAAGTGACAAATGTCATCATTCCAGTATTTGACCATTCGGTAACCTTGACCCATGTTCCAGTTATCTTTAGCTATGTTTACAGCATGTAGTTAAACGTTTTACATGCTGACGTTCACACACGGTACATTACGGCAGAACATAATCATGCGTGCAAACTCATCATGAGGCAGAGCCGAGCATTAGAATAAAAGCCCATCCTATTTCTTTATTTCGATTACATACGACTAATACACACAGGTCACATGTTACAGTTTTCCATCTTCTACGAAACTAACATTTTCACCCTGCATGTTAAATCAATTTAATTTCGTTCAGCATTTAGTTTATAGGCTTTGAAATGTGTGATTGTGCCATTAACTGCTGTAATGGATCCTACTTATTTGAAGGATTTATTTCCTGATTAATGACAGAGATGATCTAAA